TTGCCTCGTGCTCCGCCCAAGATAAGCTCTTGATATATCCACGCCCTGGTGAAGTATGAACGGCTCAGAAGGTCGGTCGCACCACTGGCCGCTTTACGATCGTAGGTCCCTCCTGCGTCTATCGAGCCAAAGACTTTCTTGCATAGATCGAGAGCTTCGAGCACCTTCTGTACGTCTGATGATAACGAATAAGTGAAGAATTCTGCTGATGATAGCTGGTCCCATGCATCTAGGACTCTAGGGATAGATGCAAAAGCTGCTACGACCTCGGGACTGTCTTCGCCAAGCCACATCAGCACTTCTTGGGCCTCTTTGTATATTTTGGTCATCATCCGCACTTGGCTGGTGCGTTCTTCGACATCTTCTTGGTTGATGCAGACGGCATCGACCCATAGTGTCTGCACCTTTTGTTGCGATCTGATTTTTTGCAGCGCCGCCTTCAGATTGGATGTGATGAGAAGACTTCTGCCACAGCACAATACAGGGATGGCGCCAGTTTTGGCTTTCCACTCGTATGATAATGCTGTATATGAGGGCTCATGGTCAAGGTTCGCTTCATAGAGATCAAACGATAGAGCGTCAGATTTTTGCCCTGGTTGAAGATCTATGAGGCGAATGCAGCTTGGCTTGGAGAGTGGGACAAAAGTATAGCAGCCTCGGTTTGGAATATCAGAGGCGACTGAGCCAACCCCAGAATCATGGCTGACTCGAGATGCATGGCGCAGAACTGAAGCCACGCCTTCGTGACCCTGCATCTTGGCCCACGAAAGCGCGGTCAAGCCATTCTCATCCCTATGACCAACCTGGGAGACTTCGGCCTCTATCAGCATCCTGGCTACCATCTCGTGTCCCGTGGCAGCTGCAAAAAACAGCGGCGTCCTCTTGTGAGTTGTCAAGTGATCGACTTTCGCGCCGTGTTTTAGGAGCAGTGCTACCACATCTTCGAAGCCACGTTGGGCGGCTATACAGAGTGGCGACCGATCATCTGTTGAAGTTTGCATCGTCGCTCCGGCTTCTAGGAGAAGGCTTACTATCTCCGTATCGCCTTGCTCAACCGCAGTGATCAAAGGGGTCCGACTTGGGTCAGGGCCGTATTCAACATCGGCCCCGGATTCGAGTAGGATTTTCACAACGTCGACATGTCGAAAATGAACTGCCAGACCCAAAGCAGAGTAGCCATGCTTCTCCGTGTGCCCTTTGGCACCTCCCGCGAGGAGCAGCTTGAGGACTTTAGCTCGTCCGCGATATGTAGCCGCCATCAATGGTGAGAGCTGCAATACGTCGTCTGTAATGTTCAACTCGGCACCGGCATCAAGGAGGACATTAGCCACCTCGTACCACCCATTATAAGCCGCCCACCATATAGCGGTTCTGCCCAGGCCATCCTTGAGGTTCGGGTCAGCACCATGTTCGAGGAGCGTGCGGACCATGGACACATGTCCATTTACAGCCGCTGTGCCTAATGTGAGGTAACCTCGTTGGTCCTTCTTATCCGTTGGATGGCCGGCCTCGATGAGGCGCACCACCGCTGCTCTCATGCCTTTCTCTGCCAGTTGCACAAGCTCTGTTCCAAACTCATCCTCAGGACTGTGGCTGTTAGACTCGGAGGCTTCAGCACTGGCACCCGTACCATCAGTAGTGTGGGCGTTCATATCCTCGCTGGCCTGGTCGACAAGATTTTCTCCTCTGACTTCCGTACGTGGTTCAATATCTGTAATCCCTAGGATATTCTTTGTAGAGTCGTCGAACTCATCTGCCTGCACTAGGGATGCCGACATATCAGACAAGTCGAAGGCTGATTTAGCCCCCTCCTTGTGTGATAACAATGTGCGTATCACGGCATCACTCCCGCTTTCTGCCGCGAACATAAGCACATTCTTTCCATGGCATGTTTTGATCTCAATATCGGCATCCCTTGCGAGCAGGCTCGACACTGCCTGGACATGTCCACCCTCCGCAGCGGCAGAGATTGGCGTCTGTCCGAGCTCATCTGCTGAGTTGGGATCAGCTCCACTTTCCAGCAGTGTCTGAACAACCATATCGTGGCCGTAATGAGCAGCCAACCAAAGGCAGGCTTCTCCAGAGTTGTTTTTTGCTTCAATTTCAGCACCCAGTTCGATGAGAAGCTTCACAGCAGCATCTTGGCCCGCCTCTGAGGCGAACAACAAGGCCGTGTATCCGTCCTCATCCACGGAGTTGACGCTGACCCGCTCCTTCTCAAAAAGAGAGGTAATGGAATCTAGATTGCCTGATCTCGCAGCCGATAGCAACTGCTTCAAGCTGTCTCTGCTCGTATCTCGTTCATACCATCCCCGGGTAGCGGCGAGAAGCAGCTCTTCCATATCCTCTAGGTCCTTGCCTTCCAAGGAAAATGGGCAGATTGACAGCGGAGTGTCCCCATCAGCCGACTCTACTGTTGGATCTGCGCCGCAATCCACGAGCAGCCTTACAATATGTTGGCGGTTCCTGTTGACGGCCCAGTGCAGTGGTGTCCAGCCTGCGTAGTCTGCAATTGAGACATCAGCACCATGGTCGAGAAGCAGACGAATAGAATCCAGCCTTCCAGCACCCGTAGCAATGATGAGTGGTGTTGACCCGTCGAAGCTCGGTGAGTCAACTCCCATGGGAAGCTTCATGTTGAGTAGCAACCGGAGGAACGCGAGGTCACCTTTGTAGGCCGCAACATGCAAGACTGTATACCCCTCCGCTGTGATGGTGTCCGATATACTGGCCCCCGCCTCTAATAGAACCTCTAGAGTTTCGATGTGGCCGAAATGAACGGCATCTAGAACAGCGTTCATCCCGTACTCGCCATCAATGCTTCCATCGCCGCCAGTATGCTTTGCATTGACGTCCGCGCCTCTACGGATCAATGTCCGCACTATATCGGTATTTCCGGCGTGCACTGCTGAATGTAGAGCAGTGCAACGCCATTGATCGGTGGCGTGGATGTCAGCGCCGTAGTCGAGGAGGAGTTCAACAACGCTCTGGCTCCCACGACGAGAGGCCAGTATCAGAGCTGAAGCCCCATCGTCGGAAACAGAGCTGTCGATGTCGAAATATCCGTCCTCGAATTGGCAGCCGGCTGCCACATCAAGGATGAGTTTCACTGTATCGAACGACGACTCGACAACGGCCTTGTGCAAAGGCGTCCAAGCGGTGTTGTTCATCCAAGGGAGAGAATCGCCTCGTGTGTGGACGAGCATGCTAAAGGCATCGCGGGCACCACCACTGGCGGCGGCGTGAAGTATGGAATTCCCTTTTTCATCCACACTTGCAAGGTCATCTCCCGCAGCGAGCAGGACTTCCAGGACGTCGCAGTGATTATCAGAGGCGGCGCTATGCGACGCAGGACGTCCTTCGTCATCGGTCCAAGCCGGGTCAGATCCTGCAGTCAGGAGAAACTCTGCAATCTCGCCGTGGCCCTGCATGGCCGCGCAGTGGAGAGGCGTCACTCCCGCTCTCGCTCTTGCGGCGAGATCTGCCCCTGCTTCCACCAGCACTCTCACCACCTCCAGATGGCCATAGAAGGCGGCGAGATGCGCGGGCGTGAAGCTCCACTCGTCGACCTGTCTCAGGGCGACGTCATTTGGGCCATTTTGAAGGAGAAGGGACACCTGCTCGAGCAGGCCGCGGCGCGAGGCCCAGACGAGCGCCTTTCCCTTATTTTCCTGACTCAAATCCATATCAATCCGCCCTAGGAGCCGCCTTTGGACCGGGCTAGGCGCTTTTGCCTTCGATACCTGTTAGTCTGAAAGAATTTATCCAGAAAAATTGGCCTAGTTATGATGCCCTCGCCAATCGTGTTGTTTTGTCGCATTCTTGAGCGGGGTAGGATCAAGGCTCTGACGAAGCCCTGTCATCCACATGAGTTGTTGCTTATGTGAGTTACTACTTCATATCCCCTGTATCTATTCTTTTCTGCCTCTCGATCCCCCCGCTCGTATTACGATATTGTCGTGATGCCATGTTGTTAGTTCATATCATCATAGCTGTTCTTTAGAGGTGAGCCCCTCATGTCATGTACGTCTGCCTCACGCGCCTTTCCGGATCGACCCTAGTGGATGAAACTGTGAGGCAGGCTGGTACGCGAACCATCTCGTCTGATAGAGGAGAAGAGTGCTGCCTAAACTCCAAGCACTGAATTTTTTCCTTCTCTGAAACGATTGGCAGGCGTCGACTCTGCTGCGGTCAGGTCTATGCCACATTTGCTCCTACTTTCCTTTGTTCCGTCGCAGCTGACACCGGCGAACAGGGCCGAATACGAAGTTAAATCTTTCTCATGAACCTGATTTGTCTGATTCTCTTGTGTAACGGGCTCTCTAGCGTCGTGGCTCAGATTGCCTGCGTCTATGCTGCTCCACGTGAGAGCTCTCGGATGCCACCAGACCATGGTTAAAGTTTCCACATAAGTGTAGTGTAATGTGTTTGAGATAAGCCACAGGGATTTCAGGGCTAAGACTTTATCTGCATACCGCCAAATTATGCTGTCTTGGATACAAGTATCTAGGAATCTGAGCGGGAAGATGGCCCTGCCTCCCTTATGATCGGTGGCTCATCAGTTGCGGGTGAAACGGATCCTGTCACTAGTCCGAAATCAAGAGCACGATCACCATTGTGAGCCCAATTAAGTGCCATCTGCTTGTAGGAAAGTACCTTCATTTAGCCTCGTATCTGGATAGTCGCGCATTTGTGAGTCTGGCACACAATCGTGATTTGACCCACCTGGTATGTTTCATAGTGAGAAAAAGTGAACATGAAGTCATCGCCACATTTGGGACCGGAAAGCAACGGCCTCAGAAACCGCTCGCTAGGCTTCTACTGGCGATCTCTCAAGTATAAATATACAATGCCCTCCTCTCCGTTTATCTCGACATCCAGCATCATTCTCATCATCACTCCTCAACTTACACTACTCAAGTCTTCACGACAACTCTCACCTTCGCGAGTTACGCCACTACTAAATCTACCAAACCATCATCCACTTCATTTCCGCAAAAATGTCCAACCCCAGCGGCGGCCAAACCAACACCGGTACCCGTGATACCGTGTACACCGTCAAAGCCGACCAGACCATCAAGGACTTCGAAGCCAAGTTCAACTCTAAGTGAGCACCTTGAACTGGAATGGGAGCATCTTCTTGGGAGTCGAGGCGCTCCAAATATTTCCGCCAAGCACAGAGTCCCCATACGTTATTTCCCATCTGGTCTCCGATAGTAGCAGCTCATCAACAGGTAGCTGTTGTTTAGGTGGATTGGTTAAACTTCTCCGGATACTTTAGCAATACATCCACCATTCTCATAAGATCTGCGTGCCAAATGAAGTGAATTGTACCGTCAGCACGAGGCTGATTTGTGACACAAGAGTGAACAATAATATTTTATACAGAGTGCCCAACGTAAACAAAACCGACCGGCGCGACACATTATTGAAGTCTAATTGTTATTATTTCTGACGTTGGTTTTACGATACCCGCGTTCACGTGCCATGATGCGCTGCGCCAGGTGTGTGTGCCAAGGCATTATGAAACGATTTCTCCTCTGACGAATGAGAAAACAAAGAAATGGCCATTGGAAATGCTTACCAAATTCAGGCTGACATTTGGGTCAGGTGAATGCCAAGAACATACCATGCTCCCTCCCTATTTCGCTTTCGGTTCAACGGGGAAATCGGCGATTGCATCGGCCTTAGCAATCGCAGGAAGATACTTTAAAGAGAGGAAAAAGAAAAGATGACATGGTATGCGTGTACTATGAGGGATCATATATTATGGAAAATGATCCGGTGAACTGCAGCGCCAAACTGTTCTCCTCAACATCGACTGGGACTATCCAAAGTGGGATGTGGAATTGATGAGCAGCATTTATTTCTCATGCTAGGAAGTTAACTCTCGGATTTTTATTATCTTAACAGTAGTGAGTATGAATATCTATCGACTTGTGATACATTAAAATGCGTATCATGATATAGGTAGGCGCAAATCTACCCTGAGCAGTCTCTAGAGTGGAGGTGTAGGGTAGGCACGTTCTCTTGAACACGTAAGTTTGAGCCTTTTTTTGCAACATGGATGATGGATAGGCGTTATTGTCTTACCAACAGCATGTTGCGTGATGCAGGCAGGGATCATTTGCACGAGTCGTGTCCGCCTTACCATCGCCACGTAATGGTTTAGGATTAGGGCACAATTGGAAACTTCTTGGCATTCTGTACACAAGAAATATAACATTGGACAGCCTCTTCTCCCGATATAGGTACCGAATAGCAAGTGCCGCCTAGCCTTCTTCACCACCTCCACATGCTCCTCCCGAGTGATTTAATATTGGGAATGATTTCTCTTGCACCATCTACCCCTGGGATCATGCTCAATGGCCTGAATTGCTCAACCGAGATAAATCTTCCACTCGTAGTTTCTTTTACTCAGCCTTGCCGTGATGTCCTTATCAATCTTTGTGTTGATTCCCTTGCTCAAAAGTTCGACTGACTCTCCCTCGTCAGCCGAGACGGTGCTCTCATCCGCACCGTGCATCGCAAACAGCTCGGCAAGATTTGAACTTTTAACGACATCCATATCCAGCTGAGCTGTGAGAACCATGACCCAAATCAAGAAAACTAAAGTCAAGGTGAGTTGGATGACTAGCAGAGACAGCCACTCCCAACGAACAAGGATGTGGAGTTCTTGCTTGTATGCTTTGCCCTCGATATGGTTATCCGTGTCTGCATTCCGCATACTGCACGATATATTAGGTGTCTTGGTTTCTTGTAGTAGATACAGGAAGAACAACTCACTACGCTGTCATGGCATTGGCTATATTGTTAGCAGTGCTCTGCAGGTTACTCCATGTCCTTCTGTCAACCTCGCCTTCCGATAGCCGCGAGAACAGGTCAGAGCGGTCGGGGAAGTCAGTATCTGCATAAAGATTGGCACCGAATACAAAGCTTAGACTTTTACTTTCAATGGAATTGAACCCTCTAGGGCCCTCAAAGACATCCCGGAATCTGCCATTTAGCTTTTCATATCCCTCGGCAAACCTGACTTGAAAAGACCCATTACCACTTTGGCTCGAGAGGTTGAAAAAGGCGCCGTTAGGCCCCAAGAAGTCACCTTGTCTTTTATGTATGTGCGTCGTAGAACCCCTTTCCGTTGTGAACGACGTGGCGTTGTCCACACGAGCGTCATAGGTTTTCACGCAGAAATGCCATAGCACTTCAGCGGCACGTATGCTGATGAGATCCTCCCCTCCAAAATTGTTATATAATATGTGAAGCTGGGCCACGGTCGCCGTCTGGAGGTCATCCGCGTTGTCCCAACCAGCGACAAAGTTCCAACGCAGTGGCCAAAAAGTTTCCGTAGTGCTCAACAACGACACGTTCGGCTCCCACCCTGGGACTGTTATGTTTGATTGCGCAAAGGATGAGTTTCTGAGATCCAAAGTTGCAGTAGTATTGGCGAGTTTCGCAATCCGTGTATCCTCATACATATCTGAGATGCTGGTAGATACAACTAGGCTATCACTGATATTGCTAACACTGGCACACATTGCGAGGGAACTGAATTCAGGATACTCGCACTCATTTGTATCGCATTCGAGTTCGGGGTATGGCCAAGGCTCACTAGGCATTCGTATTCCACCTTGAATGAGAGCACGAGACATGCTCTCCAATGCTTCGATATCTTTTCTCATCGTAGTTTAGTAAATAGTTAAGGCTGTAGATGAGTTGAACGCAACAACTTACCTTGGAAACCTTGTTCATCTTGACTGACCACGGGATAAGTTCTTGCAACGGGGGCTGAAGAACCGGTCGTCAGTGCCCGAGCATTGGTATATGCTATCGTAGATTGGGTCAGGAAGGATGTAAAGAGCCCGGATACCATGACCAAAGAAGCCAACCAGCCGAGCGTGATGAACCTGACCTCGCTGTTAGCATGTCCCTTCATACCATGTTCGATCGGATTCACGTGCCTTCCACGCAGCGTCACCATCAGCAAAAGGGACCCGATAGGACCTCTGCTCGCTTGATCAAAGGTATAGAGATCCCAAAGCGGCCGGCGACGCGTTGCTATCCAGTTCCACTTCAGCTGAGAGAGCCCCTCGCTGATAGGAACAACCGTCATGGAACGACAAATGGTGGAGAGAAAGGCCACCACGGTGTTGAGCGTGAGCCCAAACCTCCATTCAGGCACCGGTCGCTTATCATACTGACGCAGCGTTATGACGAGGGCGATGAAGACCATTATGGAGAGAAAAGCCCATATAAGCTCGGGAGCCCATGCTCTCACATGTCCCGTCGAGCTACGATTGCGGCCCAGGACCTTGAATTGTTCAGTAGTGACGAGAGAGCTCTTCTGCTCCATTTGTTGAGTTGGGTCTTTGCTACAGTGTCCGATCTCTATCCTGGACGAGTTGGCGGTTGGGCTACTTCTTGTAGATGGACGGCCTCTTCCACATCAGATGGGTCGTATATTCCCCGCATCCTCTCTTGTAACAGTAACATTGGGCGCGGTTGGTTGAGGATGCGTCAAAGGATTTTCGAATGTCCCACAATCAACTCTCCAGTTGAAATCTTTTAGAAGTGGGGTGAGGATGGGTGAGGTGGTATCTACTCCTACCCGTATATGCATGGTGACTTCAGCTGACATGGATTTTTAAAAACCTGTTTCTTGGTGAAAAGGCACGTTCATGAGTGATACTTACTGAATATCTTTATTGTACTTCGCGCAACTGGAATGTTATAGGGAAAAGTTTGTAAATCAATGGTAGGCAAGCTTAGAGAATCAAATTAGGGTTGTTTCTCACCAGCTAGATTCTGCGACTCGTACAGCCCCTTCTAGATACCACTCAGATCAAGGTAATAACCAACTTATAAGTCCCGCTCTTGGTAATGCGGCCATTCTGGACCAATATCCGCGTGGCTGACAGTCGACAGAAGATACCCAACGGCTATAGGGATGCTAAACCCTGATGCCGCAACCTCGTTTAGGGCATCCTTTATAATCCGCCTGACTTTGTGTCCAGCGCGCCTATGGCCTCATCGAATAGCAGCGTCCGCGGCTTACAGATGAGCGCTCGGGCGATGGCGACGCGAAACAAGCCGACAAAGCAATAAATACAGCAGTGGCTCAGTTATCTAGGTATGCTTGTGTTCGAAATGTAAATCTTTTTGGGGGAGGAGGGGGGCGCATCCTCAAGTTATTTCCAATCATCTATCGCCCTCTCCCTAGTTTCTCGGTTTGATCAATGAATGTAATTGCATCACAAGTATTCATTGTGTTGAGATATTGGGCTCTGGCATCTTCTATGATTGTTCCTAAATTTAACTCAGACTTTCCCGTATCAAATTATATCACAGGTGCAAACTCGCTTGTAAATCCTCTGCAGACAGCCAAGAGTTATATCCTGAACGGAGCATACTATGTAATCTTAGCATAACATGGCGGTCGCCAGTGGTTGGCATGAGTGTAAGCCTGGCCCGCCGTATTCTGTTCTACTTTGTCTACCTGGAACATTAAGACCAGTAGAAAGATAGTCCTTTTCATTACCTAACGCCCTCATGATAAAATAAGGGTCAATATTTCGCGATATAGCCTCTGAGGTTCTGATGAAAACCGCGCTTTAGTCTGATTGTAGATGCCCCTACAGTCGTAACAGGGGCGATGATAAATTTAGACCCAAGATGTCGATACCCGTTGGAGAACGCGGCAAGGGATATCCGAATTAGAAAGACTGCTTCCGAAGTGGGGAGCTTCCGTGGTGAGATGATGATCTATAAATAGCCCCAGTCGAGGATGATGCCTTGAACCTCCCTCACGAGCCGCTGGAGACAGGCACGTTCTTGTTGATGGAAATGCGCCGATTAGTTATCTGGGTATGCAGGTGTATACCAATAACAAGCTCAAGGCTCAAAAAAATAGAACAGACAGCTAGATTTAATGGGTTACTCGTTTGGCTATTAGAGGCTCACCCATGTAATATGATTGCAAGGGAGACGCCTAGCGGACTTAGAGTGATGTCGCTCATTAACATGTTGGCTTTGATATATCTGGGAAAAACGCGGAAACGATTATGATGTGCATTGGCCGACTGGTGAGAGAAGCTATCATTAGACCACACATTCACCATTGCAGGCAGGGGCTGAGACCTGGCCCTGGTCGACTTTAGTCGAGGGCACCCAAATAATTTGATGACACCCGGCTGGAGCCGGCAATGAGCCAGCGGGGCCGTTCACGACAGCGAACACCGCGTCTACATGGACGATGAGCTGCTACTCCATGCCCAGGCGAGATGAAGTAGTACTTAACCAGAAAGTTATATAACCGAGCTCAAGACTCTCTTTGAATATTGGATCATCAGGCTCAACATCGCCTTCTAATCTCCTTCGTCTTTTCCTTTGTCTTTTCCTTTGTCTGCTTATTCGTTTGCTTTCCTATGTTATTTCCTATATCTACTGCTTGATTTTGTTTTCTTTTCTTGTTTCCCGTTATTTCCTTATTATTTTCTTTTCTTCTCTATTTTCTCTTCTGTTTTATTATTTCTTCCCCTTTTCTTTTTGTCAGACATTTCTTTTTTGGGGAGCTCGGGAAGCCAACCATCTGATCTGCTGGATGGCGAGCCAATGATCATGGCAAGCAACACCTGCCATCACTTGCATAACTGGTTCTTTTGAGCATGCAGGAGTATGCCTTCATCAGCATCAACAATGCCGTGATTCGGGAACCAAAACCCAGAGGAGCGCGAGTCGCATCCTCGTGAGGTGACCTTTTCCAAATAGGTCTTCACCCGATGGTCCAGAGCACCTAGCAAACTACACTTTGGAATTATTCCGGCTGGGCCGACGATATCATCAGATTCATTTTCACCGGCTGGGCCGAAGGGTCTATCAAACAACTATACCGGCTGGGCCGATGAGGCTTTCAATCAATTTGTACCGGCTGGGCCGAAGAGGCTTTCAATCACTTTATACCGGCTGGGCCGATGAGGCTTTAACCAGATCATACCGGCTGGACCGAAGGAACTATCAACCAGATATTTCCGGCTGGGCCGAAGGAGTTGAACAAAAACAACGAATCAGCCTCGCTCTCTGGACGAGAGGCGAGTCCATCGTTTGCCCTGGGTCTTGTATCGGCTCTATCTGAAATACGATAGATGTGCGACAATGCTTTGTTGCTGGTGAGGAGCTATCACAGCCATAACAGCTATGATCAAGCAACCGGCCTAACAACATTAGTTAAAGGTCTGATCGAAACTTTCATCTCAACCGAATCCCCAATTTCTTGATCATTTCGCTATGATTGAGACTTTTCTTATCTTTTTACTTTCTTATTCTTCTTCTCTTCCCTCTTCTCTTTATCTTTTTACTTCTTTACTTTCTTCTCTTCTTTTACCTATATTCTTCTTCTTCTCTTCTTCTTTTTTATTTTATTTTGGTATATGGGACTGGTTCCCTCGGTGGCATTCGTGTGATCCGGCCAGCCAAAGCATTTCATTGTTCTGAAGGGGTTATAGATACTCATGGTATGGGGTTTGGGTTGGAAGATACCTTGGAACAGCTATATCGGTTCAATCTAGAGTCCGTCTCGAACTACTACTTTGTTAATTGATTTTCACTTTTTTATTCGTTCAACTTATATTTGCGCATAAAAACTAAATACTCAAGATCTCCTCATTATCTGTGAACGTTGCACATGAACACTTGCTGCACTGATGTTTAAGCCTATAGAAAAAGAAAAACTGGAAGTAGAATGGAATGACTTCAAAAGTTTACTGTTTCCACCGTCTCTCGACGCAGAGTCTCGGCATCAGCTGGGAGAAGGAACCCATCTTGGATCTGCCTTCGGAGAGCCTCTCCGGCGACACGGCGATAATTAGAGACAGATCCATAGATCTTTAGTAGTTGTTCATTACTAAATGGCCATTCGGACCCTTTAGAACATCTTAGCATCTGTCAACTATACCGTGATGGCAATGTGCTGTTGACTTACCGCAATACCAATTTGGTCGCCCCTTGGGTGTGGCAGCAACCAATCTTGACAGAGGAGCGTCCGTGTGTAAAGTGCGTACACCGGCAAGGGAATTTCCATAAATATCGCGAATGATCTCATCCGTATCATCAACAGTTGTGAGCATCCTGCTGGCAGGCGGAACCGCGAGCCCCCTGACCCATTTCTCCATGGCTTGGAAGACGGCGTGATAGATGAACGAGTTTGCAAACGAGCTCCATTTGGCACCGCGTAGATCGGCGACAGAAAGCCTCTCTATGTCGAGGGTAGAGGCGTACCTACTCTCACGATGAGCCATGCCTGCCACTTCATAGAGTCGGAATCCCTCGCTATCTGGTCGTCGGTGAGAAGTCTCGTACATCTGGCCACTCACTCCGCATGGCAGCCGAACAGACTGGAATTCCGATTCGCCCAAGAGCTCGATGATCTTGACCCCTGGCGTGTCAGGGAGTGCAGGACCTCCAGATTGGCAGGGAATAAACCCTTCAAATGGCAGCGATCCATCGGGGAGTCTCAAGCTTGCAGACTGGGAAATGAATCGACGTGTGACTCCTCCTGTCTGAGATAGCCCGCTGAGAATGACTTTATCGGCCTTGAGGCCCAGCTCTCCAGATCGAAGAGCGTGAGAAGCTGCGCAGAGAATCTCTGGAGACTGCAGTGTAGCCGGCCACCATTTAGCCTTGAAAGAGTCATATGCATCTCGAAGGGACTCCTTGGTAACATTGGTTACGAATGGAATATTTTCAGCAAATTCATCAGAAAGAGGCCCTGGGATAAAGTGCATATCCTTGTATCTCTCAGGATCGACGGCTTTGATCTTGCCAAGGGCTGATGGAGCCTGGGAGTCCACCTCTAGCCAGGCGTGACCTATCATGATATTGTAAGAATTTATTTAAGAATTATGCGAAGAAGAAAATATCTGAGGACTCTTACCATTACGCATTAGCCACCTGTTGATATGACGCCATATACTTGTGCCTCCCCAGAGATGTGAGGGCTCTTCAACGACAAAGCCGGAGAAGTCGTTCTCGTCGGCGGGGCACCGAAGGAGCAGACGTGTGCAATATGACTCTCCGGCCGCAACACCGCTAATCATGTACTCGCGACTTACGTACCCATATTCCGGGAGCAAATCGACATGGTATGGTTCTAGGAGTACGGAACGTGACCCCTCGGTTTCTGGCAGCTCAGCTACTACTGGCACAGACATGGAGACATGCTGAGCATGAGGATTGGAATTTCCAACCGCCATCTTGATCGACAGGATTGTAGAGCCTCTTGATATCAATTGAAACTGAAGTTCAATTACCAACCCCCTCTCGACGTATTTATGCTGTGATGCCCGAGACTCAACACAACCCAATCCATAGCCGACAAGGTCACGTGATGTATCTAACCGACAGTGTCGGCTCGATACACCCGGCTCGATCTCCATGACTAGCCATAGTCGCTTCAGTTCTCTTTCTGTACAAAAGCAAGCCAGGTGGCTTCGCTTGATATTGACAGAAGCGCTCTGCAAACCTGTATGCGCACCTCTCCTACCCCTTTTCTACCGACTCCAACTCCGACGCTCCGACGCACTCGACCTGACGACTATGAACACTGATAAGGGCAAAGCCGAGGACGGGCTTCCCGGGGATGGGAAAATGAGTATGCATAGCGAGCATGCTAGGCTTGGCTCTGACCTGAAGGCTACTCATGAAGAAGCGATAATTGGACAATCCGAGCCAATAGCAACAGCAGAAGAGAATAAACGAGTGAAGAGGAAGATTGACTTCATTCTCTTACCGCTCATGTGTGGTTGCTATATCTTCTCTGTGAGTGCCGCAACCTTTTTAAGCATCATGCCAGCTAATTCAGGCCATTCAAGTTCTTGGACAAGACCATGCTTAACTACGCCTCCATTTTTGGGTTGAAGACAGCATTAAAGCTGAAAGGAAACGACTATAGCTGGCTTGGCAGGTTAGTAATTTATACCCGTAGTCTTGAGTTGTGTATTGACTTTCGGGCAGCATATTTTATCTTGGATACATGGGTGGTGCTATGTTCTGGCCTACTCTCGTGCAGAGATATCCTCAACATGTCGGAAAGCTCATCTCTGGAGCTGTCTTCAGCTGGGCTGTTATGTCTCTACTCACGCGTATGCTTTCGTCGCGGCACCTCACCCCCGAAGGAGAACTAATGGGACATATATTAGCCCTCTGCTTTAACTTTGCTGGAATTATGTCAGTGCGGTTCTTCCTTGGCTTTCTTGAAAGTATCAACGGCCCGGTTTTTGTTATCATCACAAGTAACTGGTGGACTCGATCTGAACAAGCGTTCCGAACTGCATTCTGGTTAGGCGGTACCCCTGTAAGTCAAATATCTTCAAAGATCTCGCAATTTCGACCGACTGTGACTTACTTGCGTCTAGATTGGGAACTTCATTGGCGGGCTTCTGACATATGCCCTGGGTTCGAGTAAGTTTGTTCACTCGCGATTGACTTGGAGGGAAGCTCATCATTTTAGTTCATGGGAACATCGAAACCTGGAAGATTTTCTTCCTTTTCTTTGGAGGCTTAACCTTGGTATTCTCCATTGTCCTCATGTTTCTGATGCCCGATACTCAAGCCAATGCGAAATGGCTCAGCAAGGAGCAGAGAGTCATTGCGCACGAAAGAGTGAGAGAGAATCAGACCGTCTCAGAGAAGAACCAATGGCAGTGGCCACAGTTCTGGGAAGCTCTACGGGATCCCCAAACGATATTATTCTTTATCACCGCTATGTAGGTTTCGTTCGTTGGGCTTCGCACCGGATGGGCGTTAGCTAATTATTCTGAACAGCGGTAACACCATGCCATCAACGTTTGCGAGCCAGGTAAGGAGTCCATATTACTACCTACAAAAACATTTTCTCATATCTCTCACTTGTAGTTTTCGAGTCAGATTGTCAACGGTTTTGGCTTTTCACCAACGGCTACCACAATAATCTCTACCTGCCCGGCGGCAACGATTCAACTACTTACATTCCTTTCTTTCTCCTACATCGCGTCTCGATTCAACAACATACGTCTCATACTAGGACTGATAGCTTCGATCCCGCCATTGATAGGCGCATCGCTTCTCCATGTCTTGCCAATTTCGCATCAGGCAGGGAGGTTAGCGGGCTACTACCTTACATACACGTAGGCAACCATGTGCTCACTGAACCCATTCCCCTCGTGCTAACAGGCCATTTATGCAGGCACACCATGTCTTTCACTCTTGCTACAGGTCTAATGGCGTCCAACTACGCTGGCAGCACCAAAAAGGCAACAGCTTCTGGGTTCGTTTTCGCTGGCTGGGCCGCTGGGCTCATAGCAGGTCCTCGTAAGTTGCACTCATGTTTGCAAGAGTACAGATAGCGTTTGGCTAAAACGACCGCAGAATTCTTCCTCGAGAGCGAAGCGCCCAACTACACGACCGCGTTTGAAATGCTGAGTGTGTACCATGTACTTGATCTTATGCCATGCCTTTTGATACTGATCCTTTGATTGTAGTGGTGACCTATGCTCTGATGATTGTTATCCCGATCATCCAAATCTGCTGGTATAGACACGAAAACCGCCGTCGTGACCGGCTTTTTAGTGTTAGAGTCGATGGCGAGCAGCCGGGCCGCATCGAATTCACGGACAAGTCAGACTTTGAGCAGTGGGAGACATTCAGGTATGCCATGTGAGACCGGTGCGATGCAAGGAGATGAGGAACTAGCATTTAGCTGCACATTGCAATAGTGTTGATTTGGTATATTGTAATTGGGAATCGAGGAACATAAGCGTCATTAAATAATAAATCGCCCAGTGACCTGAGACATGGCGTCGTAAACGCTCACAAAGGTGCCTTCTGATTGCATCCTTGCTATTGCTTCGAGGAGCTTGCGCGCTTTCTGAATATACAGCCCCCATTTCTCACCCTTTTTGAGTATTTTGATGACCCAATCACGGTGAATTGGATCTGTGGTGAGTAGCCCGGCCACGAATAAAGACGAGGGCAAAATTGAAGATGGTGATCCGGCGCGGGAACCATCTTGATCGACCTTAAGCTGATAACGCAGTATTGCTGAGATTGAAGCATCTTGATGACACATCGACAAGGGCTATATCGACTCAGCACTATGTGCTTGGAGATCGGGTTGGATAGTTTACTCACAAAGATATGATGGAGATATAATAGCGAGGAATGAAGAGCGGTGAAAACTGCATAAGATCCGTAGGTTGTCGAATCAAGAGCATTGTCGTTGGCTATATTCACATCACCAAGCCCCCGACTTCGGCTCGTGTCACGAATATGGCGCTCCCATCGCTGAATCTCGTTCTGAATATCCGAATATAGATTCCGCACAACTTCAGTGCGTATAGGGGCGGATCTTATGAACTCGCTTTGTATTTGTTGGTGGAGTTGCACGTCGATTTCAGCGACTCTCATCCGAAAGATGTCTGCCCGCAGCAAATCCACCACCGCGCCGAGCGAGGTGGCATCAGCTGAATCAGAACTGAAGAGAAATGAAAAGGAGGTAGTTTTCCTCAGTGCTTTGATCAATGCACCACCGCCTAATCGATAGCAAGAAGCGCGGGCATCGAGAATCGCGATACGTACGATGATGCGCCAAGCTAAAGTAGAAGTGTCCTCCAAAGCCCGTAGACCATGTGTAGTTGTGAGGATATCGACTGCTTCATCAATTATCTTTAGAAAAGCTTCGACGCTACCGCCCATGACGTGGATCATCTTGATGCGCACAAAAAGGGCGGAAAGCAAACTGTCCACCTCTGTTTCATGCGTTGATTTAAACTGCCGGAAGGACTCTGCAGCTAAGCGGTCGAATCTAGCGGCCTGCTCTCGGTGGGAATCATCCTCCATCGACATATGAGATGCTGAGAACGCAAGTATGGCATAGAAAAGTGGTGGGAATGAGAGGGAGCGAGAAAATGCGGAGATGAAGAGGTTGTTGGTCTCCTTTGATCGCTCATCTACTTTCGAGTATCCTTTGATGACTTCAAGATAATGCTGGATCAAATGGCGGTTCTGATCTGTGACAGAGGTAGATAAATCGTCTTGATCTCTGAGCGTGGCAGTATTGAGACTGTCCTCCAACTGCTGTGCCATTTCGGAGACATCAAATGGTGAAGGCCATTGCATGGATGCTTCATCGTAGATGGACTCGGCGAAGAGAGACGAATCCACAGCAGGCAAGGGGATGAAGTCAAGTCCTTCCCCTGCCAGGTTCAAGTCTAGAAACCCAGAGTCGAGGCTGAAGTCAGGACCAAAGAAATTTTCCTCAGCCCTCATGCTTTGATTTTCCTCAGCTGGTTGCTGCGACGGCAGAGCCTTGGAACTCTCGGCGACTTCCGCAGGCCGGTCCGCATCTTCCTCTTGACTAGCGAGTGCCTCGTTACCTGGGGCAGATGTAGATGTGCTTGCTCCTGCATCATTACCGTCGTCACGAACTCTGCGTCCGGTGGTTCGTCGACGTTTGGGTGGCGGATCATACTGTTCCCCCGGCGGAGGAGGTCTCCATCGACACTGGAACCCAAGCCTCTGACAGTTGGCGCAGTCGCCCGGTTCTTCGTCATCGTTCCCCACAGATGATTGCCTGACTACCTGGCACCGGACTTTGCGAAATCTACATGTGTAGCAGCCGGTTCGCGATCGCCTGTGGACTGGCTGCCGAGCCATCTCCCCGGTTGGCATGATGGGGCAGAGAAGAGTGAATGACGAGGAGAGATAAGCATGAGCATGAGCTACAGTGGAAGTAGCGGGGTTTTGAGAAGATTCTGGGGCTTACGGGGAGAGACGGGGGCCCTGATCGCTTACGGAAACCCCTATCTCGGCTATAATTGTTCACTAATTCCCCAGGGGACATACACACATTCCATATTGGATTGGGTAGAGACGGGATTACAGTTGTATGCTATTGCCGTTAGATATGAAAGTCGAACCAAATCATCATAGCTATAAGTAAAATAATTTGATGAATCCTTCCACCGGATACTTTTGACGGAATATGCCAGTCCCGAAAAGACTTGCCATTGCTTATATGTAGACACATACAGTGCCCCGGCTTTGACAAGTAAAAGTAGAGGCCAGTAAAGGTATGAGTGTTGAAAAAGTGCACATCATGATAGTGAAACTAGTGGATATGCTTCGATAGCTTTTGTATTGTTTCTCTAACACCTCGTTCTATTGATTTCTACTCTAAACTCAACTGCTCTGCCGCGTTCGCTACGATCCGGTCATCTTAACACCACAGCGTCTCTCAAAGCGTCCAAGAGAGCTGGTGTATCCGAAAGAAACGATCTATCTAATGGAAATGATTTTAATAAGGCTCAAACTACCATAAGGTGAGTGTGCTGACTGCTTGTGCCGAGTGATGGGTAATCAATACTTCAAGCATAATGCACATCGCTTAGTAGATGGAGTCGATTAAGCATTCTGAGTGATGACACGGAAAGCCTTCTGGCCGAGCAAAAACGTAGAGCCCACGGGGAATCCTCCAGGGGCACGGGGGAAGACGGAACCGTCGACGACTCTGAGACCCTCAACACCATGGACCTTGAAGTTGGAGTCAACGCACGAGTCGGTACTGTTGCGGCCAATACGGCAGCTTCCAAGGGCGTGGTGGCTAAAGGTGTGGTCCAGAATGTGCTGGCTCAAAGAGCGGTCAGTGGGAGGGTCGATGAAAGTGAAAGGCGCGTATGGCTCCTCCATCGCATTCATGATGGAGGTGACATGCTCCAGGCCCTCAGACAGAGCTGTGAGATCAATCTCGCGGCCCTGTTCAAAGAAGTTGAAGTCGATCTGGGGAACTTCACGAGGGTCGGCTGAGCGAAGACGAACAGTGCCGGCGGGGTTGTGGTTCTGCATCTTGGCAACAACCCAGAAGAAGCTGGTAGGAGGTCGCTGGGTTGTGCTGTATCCGGGGTAATGGCCGTCAAAGACACCGCCACCGCCACCGAAGATAATCAGATCAGTGTCGTTGTTTTCACTTTGGCTGGAGCGGTAGAGCATGAAGATTGAAGAAGCACCTTCGCCATAAGGTCCGTAACCTTCGACCCATTGGGCGAGGCAAGGGTCAGTGTCGGGGTTACCTGAGGATGTGCAGTTGGCAGCCGGGTTATTCTCCCAGGGGATCTGCGACTGGACATTAATGCCGATCTCGTAGTTGTCTTGCAGGTACTCGCCCTAGCGACTTGATGTCAGTTTGAAAACTTCGGTATCCAAATTTTGAATGTGATAGTGCTTACCACAGCGGGAAGGTCGACAACAGTTTCAATACCGTGGCTTTCAAGCTCCTCGCGAGGACCCAGGCCACTGAGCTTCAGAATCTGGGGGGTATTGAAGGCTCCTCCAGCAACAATAACCTCCTTTCTGGCCTTCACAAACTTCTTCTCTCCACTGACGCTAGGATCATAGCGGCGGTCAGCTTCATACAGACCCTCACCAGCAAGGTACTCGACTCCCACGGCCTTGATCGTGCCATTAGAGCTCTTGGATGTAACCACCTTGGTGGCAAGACTGTGGGTGCTCAAGGTGAGAGGGTAGAGAGCAGACCCATTGGCGGACTTAGCAGCGAGCGTTTCAGTGATGTAGTTCCACGGGCTGCTTCGGCGGCGCTTCTCATCGATATGGACTGGGACCTGGTAGACACCTTCCTGCTCATACTTGTCAAGATCAGGTCGGTTGAGGTCACGTTCCAAACGACGAATCACGTCCTCTCGGTCAGGAAGATCGATGTTTTCAGTTTGAGACATGGCGTTCTGCACGACGTTGAAGATGCCTGGGCGGTCAACAAGGTAGGAAATGTTGTTCCTGTTGGTCTGTAATGAAGTCAGTATGCATTCGGGAGTCAAAGTCCATGACAGAAGCTCTCACAGCGATGTATCCATCGTAGCCGTGGCCATCGGTGCCGGGCGGAGTGTAAGTGTTGCGCTCGAACTCTTCGTAGTACTGGACGAGATTCTCCCCTCTCCAGGAATCATCTCCCGTGGCGCGGGCGATGTAGTCGAAATCTTCAGGAGGAGGTAGCACGACGTTCATAGCATTCGAGATGGCTGAGCCTCCAACGGTAGCTCCTCGAGGGTAATAAATACCGAGTCTTCTAATGGTCAGATTCTATAGCCTGTTCCATTATATCTGGATATGTGCTTACGGCGTTGCGCCCTCAGGGGGGTTAAGACCGTACCAGAGCGTACCGTTGGCGAGACGGTAGCTGAAGTAACGATCGCGGCGGGCTTGGGTCTCGTTCTGATAGTGAGAAACGAAGAACTGCCAGGACATTTCGGGGTGTTCAGCGTTTGCATTGTACCTGCAACCAAGTTAGATCGACATTGGGAATGCTCTTTTATGTTTCTCCCCCTGTTAGATTTGGTTCACGTAGTTTACTTACAACCTGGGGACCTGTTGTAAGAATTCGTCTCCGCGGTCGCCACCAGCTTCGATCAAGAAGACTGAATGTCCTTCACGGGCCAAGTTCGCGCTGTGCTCCGTTAGTAGAAGTCTTCATGGAACATTGGAGTGAGAAGGACGCACGCAAGAGGACCGCCACCGGGGCCAGAGCCAATAACGACGTAGTCGTACTCGGCTGTGGCTGTGGCCTTGGCTGCGAGGCCTCCGAGGACCAGAAGGCCAGTGTTGATGACTGCCTTCATCATGAAAACGAGAATGGGTGAAGGTATATCACAAGATGTATTATCGCACTGCGATGAGTTGATGAAGTTGATGAGGATTGATGGGAAGGAAAGATATTCCAATGCCCTTATATAATGTTTCCTGGTTTCGCTCCCATGAACTATAATGGATCCTCGACAGCTTCATTTTCCCTCCTTCCCCCACCGACGTGGCTGACGAGTGACGACGCATGGGCACATCTCAGGGTTTGGGTTTGCAAAGAGGCCTCAAGCATAGAACTTTCGGTGCTTCCTCCGCGGGCGATGGAGCGATAAATCCGACGCTGTCTCATAACGCGAGAGCGTCAACGATGGCTGTCACACAATCGCCGCTCGCGCGAACTCGTGCTCGCGATTAGGGACACCCTTAAAGCCGGGGCTTTGCTGGCGGGCCGCGTCAAAGTGATCATAGTTCCAGTTAGCGTTTACGGATCAGCAACCCTGTGCTCGTGCTTATTTCTAAGCTTATTCTCCATACTTGCTTTGCTGCCCATGAGTATCCCTGCATCTTGGCGTCACATCTCCTAGGCGGTGGACTGACAAGCACCATACGGGCAAAAACAAGATATATTTGCAGCAATACCAAGAGTATGAAAAGGCTGCAATGGCTTGGTGTTATCTTTCTCAAAACTGGAATGTAGAAAATCAGTAGTTGCCCGGCTATCAGTGACTCTTTCGATCGTGGAGCAGAACCCGACTCGAGTCGAGTTGAAGGCCGAGCCGTAAGCGGTTTCAGCGAACAACAGACCCACGGATTCATTGATTCATGGGTTATTAGCCGATGCCGCCAAAACTGGAACTGATCAGGCAATTCCTGTTCGTGCTTACGGCCCTCCGCTCACCAGTGCCGGTCAAAACGGCACTTGTACAATTTTGTAAAATTAAGGTGAACTGGCGTTCTTGACCAATAAAAGTTTATAACCAAACGGCTCAATTCAGTTCGATTTCGCTATGCCGCTGAATGAGATGTTGTAGTCGGAAAAAGGGGTGATAGGGCGATGCTCGCTGCAGTCTACGGGCAAGTTGATACACATTATCCCTTCAACGAAGGAGACAGAATTACTATTCTGGTAGCATTAAGATATTTCTAATTGTCATATCATTCTACGTTGAATAAAAGTGACGTCAAATGCATTGTCGTCGTTGCATGTCGTGGCGCACTTGAGCTTTAGGTGATTACATCACTGAAACAGATGTAATTAACCAGCCAGTCGCATCAGTGAGCAGAATAAACTCGACAAAATCGAAAGAAACATTGAAGAAGACAGAGAGGTGTCTCTGCCGCCATCTTATATTTTGCTGGGTATTCCAGAAGCAAGTATAGATCATCTGATATGCTACTCTGGAGCATATCCGCGAGGGCATTGGATAAAAACGATGACGTTTCCCTACGATGATCAAGGTTCTAGCGGGATACACAGAGTTAATGCATTTCTCCCCTTCAAGCACTCATTTCCGAGCACTAGGAGTTGCTTGATGGGGGAAAACCGCATCGGGTGGACATAAGAGTGACTGCGCCACGCTGACCAGAGAGGGGGAAACGCGGACCCCGCATCTTGACCTCCTGGATCGCTGGCATGTTGCTTGTTCTGGCAGGTCCTCTCACTCATAAAGTGATCATTAACTTCCTATAAATAAAACCTAGATAAACTATGCACCATCAACAGAAACCTCGACAGTCACATTGCGGATGGTGCATGTGGACGTCTCGTATGACTCCCCAAACATTTGTCTGAGCCATGCCATTGCTCTTGGCTTCCCATTCTCAATCTCAGATACATGAGTTCCCACCGTGTTCCTTTCGAACAAAATATGGGCGCCATCCTCACGCCATTTGCTCACTATATCGTCGACCTTGTCCACTGGACAGACTTGATCACCAATCGCATGGTAGATAAACATAGGCATGGCCGGAGTTGACCGGTCGCCGATTTTCATTTGCGTCTCGTACAACTCCACCAGAGTTGGGGCGTATAGATCCTTCTTCCCGCCTTTGAAAAACGAGTAAATGTTCTTGCCGCTAAAATGCAGCACGGACTTCGAGGCTTCAGTCTCTAAAACAGACAGGAACTCGTCTCTCGTCTCCGGTATCAGACAGCTTTTCAAATATGCCCTGGCTTCGGGGAATTGAGCCGTGATGCCCAGCAAAATCGCAATTATGGTTCCAGCAATGGGGCCTTCGTTTAGGCGATCAAAGCTGCCAGCCAGATCATTGGCCATGCCGCCCAATATGGCCCCTTCCAACTTGAGCTCTGGTGCGTAAGTCGGCTGCATCTCTGCTGCTGCAGCAGTGGCCGTGGTACCGCCACTGTATCCCCATATAACAATGCTCATCTCTGCTTCGCCGGTTAACCGTGCCAGGTTTTGTACAGATCGGATTGAGTCGAGGGTTGCATGCCCAGCCTGAGCCGTCGCACCAAATGCAGCCATGGGGCCGGCAAAATCAGGCGTGTTGACGATCCAACCCTGAGAGAGGAGTTGGTCGAGCAAAGACGTGCTTGATTTCAGGCCCAGATGCTTGTTCTCCTCGGCCAGCTTGCCATACAGAGCAAAAGAAGGGCTGGAGTCTGGATTGGCTGAGTTGTAGGCAAATTGATAAGAGACCATAACCGCCTTCCCTGAGGGTGTGAAGTAAATTGATGAAGGGATGAGTAAAGTGGTCACGGCCCATGAGGGTCGACCTGCCGAATCAGTGGTACGATATAGAATGTTGTAAGCAGTGCCTAAGGAGTCCCCAATGATCGCAGTGAGATTGCCCGGAGCTAGGCGTATCTTGAGAATTTCTCCCGCTCGTTTCGTGTCCAAGTCCGGCGGTGCCTCGTACCAAGGATCCTCTGTTGGTGGTAGCGGCTGGATATCCTCCCTAATCGACTCCCCAGACGTTGGGTCATTCATCACTGGTTGGACGACTGGGAGACCAAAGAGCCAGTTCAATGTGACCATCGTTGTGTCGTTTGATGTGGCTTTTTAGATCAACCCGTTGAGATAACTTATTCTCTTATGATTGCTAAGACGCTTCACTGATATGATGCGCTAATTAAGGGATGGATTTTGTTGAAGTTGAAACTACATCTCACATCTGACACACTGACGTCAAAATGAGAGAAAAACATTGATGACTGCATAAATACGTGTACTTCAGGCTGACTAAACCAGATGCAACGCATGGGCAGTAGATTGAATGTAGCGTTAATATCAAAGAGCTATTGTTTGAACGATGATTAAGTCATATGTATATTTTTGATATAAGCCCAATGACAACATTATTTTCACTGAGTGTAGCCCTTCGACGCGGTATTTCTCACTAACCCAGATCTTCAGCCTCAATCCTGTCAATAGCCAACACTTTTTAGGCTTTCCCCCTGCGGCTGCTGACCCAACCTCTTATTCAAATCGTATTATTACTATTTGAGCAGATGTAAAGAGATCATCTTGTTAATTAGTTGATGAGATATGGTTGTTAAATCGAGTTGTAATGGTATGGGTTCCGGGTAGATTGGTTCCGTGGTTTGGAACATGGATGCCGCCTGTTGGGAAAGAGAGTTGATACCCGCGGCTGGCGAATCGGAGTGATGGTTGCGAAATTATGTGGTCTCCAAGCAATTCCAAGCCGACAAGGATGGATGACAAAGCCTACTAATTCCGCTAAAGATAGCGCAAGAATAAGCGCTAACAACATGAACACATTTTGTCTGGCGATGGGTGGATAACTCGGAGCCTTTATATAATATCCCGCTCTAGAACGAACCGTCCAATATCATCGAATTGCAAGCCGCAGATTCGCATGTCAACGCCAGCTAGAGCAGTTGCTCACATCACTTTGTGACTGGATATTCAGCTATGTGCTGTTTATAGTAACCTCACTGTGGCAAGACGTGCGTTTATAACTACCATGTGAGATCTTCTACAAAGTAGTAGTCTTCGGCTGCGCTTGGATGACTTCACAAAGCGTGGGTGAGAACTGCACAGTGGATACGGCTGCCAAACTGCCGAGGCTGTCAAGGCCGCCTTGTGGACACAGGTTGAGCCTGGCCCCTTTATTCTGGTGATCGACCGTACTCTGCCCAATCACTGGCAGGACTTAGATGAGGCAGCAGTGCCATGCTGATGTCCGCGTATCGAGCCCTACAGGGCATTAGATACTTGATCCAAGTACGCTGGCGCTTTGTCCACGTGTGCCATCTGCCAGCCTGATGTTGACACCCAGATGATGCTCTCAACCATTCTTGTCACCGTTTCTTCCCAAAACGCATTTTGCCTCCCTCTGCCATGACTTTCGCTTGACCTACCGAGGTGCCTGACTTGACAGACTGACAGCGCAATGAGGCTCATCGGATCGCTACATCTCTTACTATTCTTGGCTTCGCTTGGAGCGATGGGCAAGCCAACTTTGCACCCCAGAACTGCCAGAGCGACCGACTCAGACAAACTGCACCAGCGCCGTGCATTTCTCTCCGGTAACACACCCTCCCAGTCTTGGTTTGCCAAATACTTGAAGCTCATCCCCTCCTCTCCCCATCCATAGTCGCTGTACTGGGCGATTATCTTTATATCGAAGGCGGCGAGCAGTCTCATTATCTCGATTCGGGAAAAAAGGGCACCGACAGCAACGGGAACGAATTCAACACTGATGCTGGTGCAGGTAAGTATATGCAGACTTTGCCTCTCGGCGAACAAAATGCCTTCTGAACCAAGTCTGACGAAGTTTTTGTCTGTGGGAATAGATCAAGCCGTCACTCAGTTCATCCCAGTAAACCAGCGCTGGGCTCCGCAGGATGTTCAATTCGATACGATCTCACACGAAGCTTCGGACATGAAGATGGTGAACTTCCCGAGTTTCTGGGCGATTGGGAGTACACTCTACAGATGGGGCGGCCAGTTGAGCAATGGACTACAGTATGCTCAAGGCGACAAACCCTACCTATTTAGCGTTTCACCTGGTTCTGGTGGTGGCAGCGGCCTTACATGGACCAAGAGTCCCATCCCAGATTCAAACCAACTGGCGGGCTCAAATATGGCCTCGACATCCTGCGACGATACTGGATTTATGTATGGTGGCTATGCCTATAAAGCCTCCATGTATGCCGAATTTGATGACACTCGACCTATATCTGGCATGCTCATGTACAACACAACCACGCAGGCCTGGAAAAACTCGACGACGGAGATTAGCATTCCTGGAAAGACTTACAGTGCAGGGAAAGGGGTGTGTCTTCCTGGGGTTCTCAACTACTCCATGGTCGCCGTGATGGGAGGCGCCGATCTCGAGACAGCGCAATACCGAGCATTCACTAACTTTACGTTCTACGACCCCCATTTGGACCGCTGGTACTATCAGAAGACCATCAACCCTCCTTCTCCAATGGACGACTTTTGCGCCGTCGGTATTAAAAGCACCCATGGAACCTATGAAATGTCAGTCAAAAACTCAGAATATTCACCAATCTCAAGGTAGAAGGAGCGGATGGCAGCTAATGTTTTGGGAAACAGATTCTTGTATGGAGGCATCGATCAATCCGGAAAGGTTTCATCTGATATTTGGGTGCTCTCATTGCCTCTGTTTAGATGGTTTCGCTATACACTCAATGCTAGTGAGCCGAGAAGCAACCATGCCTGTGCAATTGCTGGGAAAAGGCAGATGATATCCGTTGGCGGGATTGATCGGACCAACAGCTCAGATGCTTGGACGTCCCAAGATCCTTGGTATAACGCACTCGGAGTCTTTGATCTGGCCGAATTGAAATGGAAGGATGTATATGACCCGAATCTGGGAGGCTACAATACACCAACCGAGATCTGGTCATACTACACAGATCAGTATGCCTGTCACTGAATCCGGAGAAGAAATTTGCTGACCATGAACAGAGCATTCGAGCAAATAAAGTGGGATATGAATGAAGTAGAAAACATGTTTATGACACCCTGTATGAGTCTTTTCAGATTTATGAATTGTTGAGAATTTTTAACTAACTTGCACCGCTGATAGATTACGAGAAGAATCCAAAAGGATCCCAACCTGGTAACGACACCGCCTCCAACAACACCGACAACGGGAAGAGTAAACCAGCCGGTGCCATTGCAGGAGGTGTTGTAGGAGGCGTAGTGGGAGTTGCTCTCGTCTCCGCCCTTGTATGGTTCTTCCTTCGTCGACGACGCAGTGCTGGAACTAAAAAGGACCAGTCCAGCGCGTGGGAAGATAACTCCAACCAACAGGCAAAAGAGCTGTCTTCAACTCCTTCGACTGACCTGGGCGCGAGCTATGAGCTTCATTCCACAACAGTCGTGGCAGAACTCGAGGGTGGCTCAACGAGTCATGTGCATTTAAAGCCAAACTCACCAGGCTAAGGGACTTTTATGTGCAAAGCAGTATGTACTGAATCACCAAGACGAGACACATAATAATTATAGTAGATACCTAAGACAGTTAAGTCTCATAGCTAGCAGACTCTTTCTTTTGAAGATTAAAAAACCAACACGAATCTGAAACAACCACTCAATCTGATGTCCGCTAAAAAAGATAATGAAGTCAATAATGCCTGTCAATACCCCAATATCTAGTCAGAGTACCATCGCGAGCCAAATACTAAAGGTTTCAGAGATGTTCAGACTCGCTGTCTTCGGACTCGGTGCCTTCAGATTCGCTGTCAACAGATTCAGTGTAAAAGCCATCAGGGTCAGAATCAGAAGGGTTATAATCATCAAGGTCAAAGCCATCAGGGTCAAACCGAAAAGGGTCAAACTCCTCAGGGTAATCATAACGGTTGCTGGCCTGCGGCTGCACAAATAGCTCCTTCAGAAACGGATCTCTTGCCATCATCACGGCCGAGTGCCCAGCATGGTTCTTAATATCAGGATCCACGCCCTCACACTTCAACAAGAAGGACACCATCCCTATGTTATTGGCCGAGACAGCAAGCATCAACGCTGTATCACCATTTTTATCTTGATAATTCAAATTTGTCCCCTTGACTTTGGCGAGGACTCCGGCCGTTCGTGGATTACCTTCACGTACTGCGACCATGAGAGCAGTCTGGCCTTCGCGGTCTGGAATGTGCGGGTTGGTCCCCGGCATGGCGAGCAGCGTCTGAACTGCGGCGGGACTGTCGGTGCAGGCTGCAAGGAAGATTGGTGTCCAGCCAAGGTCAGAGCCGCGCGTTTCTATGCCCGGGTGTTCCAAAAGGCACCGAATGACATCTTGCTGCCCACTTCTCATGGCCCTAAGTAATGGCTCGCGAGATAGCACATACGGTCTCCCTTTTTGCATGCCACCGTTTGGGTTGGATCTTGGGTCTCTGATCAAAGCGCATGCGATATCTTGCGTTTCTTCATATATGGCGTATTCGACAGGGTTGGGTCCACGTCGTGCCCTGAGATCAAGTTGCGGATAAGCAAGCAAGGTCAGAACCGATCTGAGCTGCTTGCCCTGGATTGCCCCTTCCAAGGCAGTCTTTCCCATCCCATCAATGAAATTGATATTAATGCCTGGAAAAGATAGCAACAAGTGAATCAGATCGGTATAGCCAAAGTAGCATGCGCACCACAGAGGTGAGTGATACCTCTCCGTCCTGGAGGGTTTCATATCAATTTTGCCAGTCTCGATAAGCATCCGTACGGTGGCTTCCTGGCCATTCGCGACAGCCTGAGTCAGCGCATCTCCCTTCCATATGATAGTTCCGCCGGATTCTAGGTCGCGTCCTGGATTTAGTCTTGATTCGCATCCTGGCTCCTTTCCTCGTTGCCGAATGTCTGCTCCAGCATTGAGCGCCATTTGGACAGTGGTTATGTAACCCTTGGCTGAGCCAAAGAGCAAGGGCCAGACGCCTTCTGTCTTGATATATTGCTGGTACATCTTCTGATTGAATTGAGCGTGCAATATTCGACACACACGGGTCAACTGGTTGACATCTCGGTATCGATAGACATGGCCATAGAATTTCTGTCCATCCTGAAATAGGTTCTCAGCAATAAGGTCCAGAACCTCCACTGGTACGTTCAACAGCATCTTAATTTTGGCTCTCAGCTTCTATACTGGCGAATCTCTCGTGTGTATCGTGACTTGGGGTCTTCGGCTCAAACAACGAGGGTATATATAGAAATCGTGGTGAGAGGCGCTCGCCTCCCGAGGATATTGACTCCACAGCAAGTGTTCTGGGTGTGATAAACACAGATGTCTATTTACGTAACTTAATAATTTTGAGAGAGAAAGGATTAACAAAGGTACTTTCTTATGCTTTCTAGGTACACGTGTTCTTTTGTAGTTAAGTGCGGCAGGCGAGGTGCCATGTGAAGGCACAAAAGGGCTCTTGGCTTGGAACTTTGGTGATACTGCTTGGTGAAAAACCCTGAGCTTCTGCGGGGTCTTTGAGCTGCAGTAATTTCCGCAAATGACAACTTTGCACTCTGAAATATGAAGGCACGTTCTCATCCAAGCGAAATGAAAAAAAAGTTCGAGGCATATCCCAGACGGTCCATGTTCCAATGTCATTGTTACGCCCCAACTACTTGAGTGCCCTTCCACTGGCCATCGTTATTGCATCTCTTGCTCTTATAGTCCCGATTTCAGTAATCAATGAACTATCGGCGTCACCTTTCAGGTCGAAAGATTCGTTTAGCCAAGAACACGTGGCCCGTAGCCAGTCGACTGTTCCAGGCATTGGGATCAGTTTGAATTACGACTATGTGTAAGTGCGCGGCCTGAGATTTTCCCATCTACTTCATGTCTAATGCAAGCCGACATTATACAACAGAGCCGCTGGTATCTATTTTGAAAATGGCACCTCTTTTCCCGTCGCTCGTATCGACGGGGACGAAGTGTATCGGAGCTTCATGCGTGCCACACGTTCTGGAGTCGGCAGTGGCTGTATGCCGAAGAACTCGTCTTCTCAAGTCTATTCTGCAGTCGACGAATCCGAATCCTTGGCGAGGATACTACGCCAGGTCAAGGCTTTAATAACTTCTCGCCTTGACGAGCCATTCTGCTTTGTGGTCGCTAGCCGCCCTGACAATAAATGCAACGATGCCAGTGACCCTGATGGTCAGTGGCACACTCACCAGACAGAAGTGTTAGACTCGGCTCTCAGCAAGGTTGGCTTGTACCTGACGCAAGACCGCATGATTGACGCTGCCTACGCGACCGCCTTTGCCAACGGCATGCTCGTCGGTAATGGAGAGAAAGACGGCTATGTCCTTTTTATCGATCGCGGTTCCTATGGTTGGCGCTATACGCTTCTTTATATTGATGAGGGTTATGGGGACATAGAGATGGATACTAGTTTTGTTCAAGAGACCGGGGAACTTGGATCACTACGTGAGGCAGCACGAGATGCCTTGGGCAAGTTTTTAGCCTATCTAGATCTTACGGATGATGAAATCAGGGAGCTTGTGATTTCAGGGGATTTAGCAAGCGACGCAGACCTCCAAGGCGACCTGATTTCCGTTCTGGGATCTGACCTAGTAACCAAGGCTCACGTCCGAGACCCAATTCATGCATCAGCCTTGGGTGCAGCCGCAAGATCTTTCTATAACATCAAATACCCCTCATTTGATCTACAGCCAGGTTTGGATTGCTGCAAAAAGTATAAGGGAGAGGGCTGCCAGCTCACTACAAATTCTTTTTGGAGGCCGCGCATGGTAATTAATTCGATAAGGTGAAGAGGTTAAATACATGGCTAGTCTTATCGACATGAAAGGCAATTTACACAAACTTGGTTCCCACATACCCTTACCTGGAACGTTATCTTGTAACCCTAGACTTGTACCTGAAGGCTCCTACTATATGCCTCACTACACCTAAACATGTAGTTTCATCGGCTTCTATACCGGCCAGTCGGTTAACCCTTATATTTCCATACCGTCATTTCACTTCAATTTGTGTGAGTCCAAGACGAAGTAACTCAAGTGACTGACTTTACGTATGAAAGAGCTTGACATCTAACAGAACTCTCTCAATGACATGAACTCACCTCTGACAAAAATTGGTCTAATTGAGCGCTGTTTCAAGTAGACGGATGCAGAAACGCACTCTCGCCGTCGCTTCACATACGTGTATTCTTACCACACGATACGAACATATGTTGGGATGGATATGGGAATTTCCCTAAAAAAGCTGCTCAAACTAACAACCATCCCATTAATGAATGTAAATTCATCAATTAAATCCAATAAGAAAACTGGCTCGGATAATCCCGAGCGTACACTCACTGTTCAGGGAGTCTAATTGGTTGACCGTAAAGCCCACAACCTTCACCTACATCAAGCAGTACGAAAGCCCAGCCGCACGCCACAGCCTTGTCGCGAAAAGACAACGTGTGGTAATTAAAAAAGGCACATTGTGATAATATGGCCTGTCCAGTACGGTGGCATTTTTCAATCTCTTGCAGGACCCCTGAAACGCGCCCCTTGCTCACGTCAGGAGCTGGTTGGATTGGGTTAATGCGACAAGCTTGCAAAACTGTCACTGGTTTCCAGGGGTTTGGCTTCACCTTGTTCGGCAGCTCGCATTGCATGGATGTAAGCGTTCATTTCATGCACCATCGTTTGGGCTGAGGGCTGAGAGCCATTGCGCAAGATTCAGCCTTATACTTATCGCAAAAGATTGTTACACAGTAGAGCAAAAACATCCTCCTGTGAATAAAGACGAGCATTGCATCAAGAGTGCCGCATGGGCCGCACAGGGACATCCAGTGACATCCTGAAGACGATGACTTTCTGTAGCGAATGTCCGGGTGGTCCGTCAGCTCGTCTGCCACTCAAATCAAACAAGGCCCTGGGAGTGGATATGGCGTGCCGAGATCCAGCAACGTTACGCTTCGTATCCCGCTCGTGTCATCCTGGCTAGCCGTTACGAGAGCGTATTATGGGCGTATGCACCGCCGTTGGCTCTTAAGCGACACCTTAGAAGAGCTGCTATAGCCCCCATCTTATATATTGTGTTCTTCTCTCTCACATCGTGATCTCATGCTGTTCTTTCCTTCTATTCTCAACGACGGTCGTATTCACTCATTTGTCTAACCACATTCATTCATTTCGCAAACATGCACGCTCGATCAATCATCACTGCCTTCGGCTTGGGCTTCTTAGCTCTGGGAGCTGAGGCTCGCTGCAAGCACTCCTCAAGGACTGCTTCTTCCGTCGCTACCTCCGCCTCCGCCGCTTCAGTGCCATCGTCATCTGTGCCCGCCGTTTCGACCACGCTTCAGACCTCGACCCGTCCTGCGACCACGGCTGCCCAGCCTACCACCACTTCGATCAGTCTCCCCAAGCCTGAGTTCTTCGACCCCGTCTTCACCCCCGCTTATGGCGCCGAGTTTGCCTACGGTTCGAACTTGGAAATCACCTGGGGTTACGATCCCTACTATGAGGGCACCATTAAGATCACCCTGATCGGCGGCCCTACCCAGGGAACCCAGCAGCCTCTTGGTGTCATCGCCTGTAAGTTTTGGTCCTGCAATCGCTTCTAACATGTTTTTGGGCTGACAGAAAGACAGCTGGCCTCGACAACAGCCTTGGCAAGTTTACCTGGACCATTAACAACGATTTCGTCGGCGCCAATGCTTTCTACGGATTCTCCATTCTTTACGAGAAGGACGGCGTCACCTCCCAGTACTCGAACCCTTTCCACATTAAGCACTAGGAGGATCGTAGGAGAACTGGTGTCCAGGGATAATGTAATATCAATTGCTATATTCTAGAAGGTTGGCGGGCTTCACCCGTGTATGGTTAGGCTCTCAGGTCGGCAGCTCCGGGTAGATCTGGGTGGCATTAATACTAAATTTATTTTCACCCTCGCATGACCTTCACCGCTCACATGGCCCTTCATGCACTGTAATTCTTCCCCGGAAAATGCCACCAAGGAATTCCGGGCGGCCGCTGGAAGGAGACTCTTGGCATGTGGCGAAGACGGTTGATTCGAGCGGGTCAAACACACTAGAGTCGGAAGTTGCCTCAAAATTTGCTGCGCTGACAGGGATCCGCGTACGAGGTTAGGTTATGAGCTCGTATTTAATTCTCTTATTTGATTTGAGTGACATGGCGGTATAGCTTAAAAAACAATAAGAGGTGGGTTAAGATCGCTTAAAGAACAGACAAGGATTTAGATGATATGATATTCTCATTACTCGGGATGCCTTATTTCTAACCTATTGGAGGACACACAATGCGTTGGTGAGGCATCGTGTAGTGCCTTGCGTCGGTATGTACATTAACTAGACCTCGTAAAGTTAGATTGAGGAAAGTACCGTGAATTCTTTGCCAAGAGTTGTTCAATAACAGTACACGCGAGATGATGTTCAAAAGTTAGGAGTGTTAGGCGGGGATCATACCACAGGACACCTCCTGTTAAGCCCGGAAACAAGCAGAGTCATTACGTGTGACTCCGTCAAAGCGGTGTAGGCGTTTTGGCATGTACCATTTAGGTTCCAGTTTTGGACCAGAGTCTTGGTTTCAGGATTGGAAGAAAATCTCAGTTCAGGGATTAGAAGAATAGCCCGATTTTGGGGATAACCCCCTCAAAAGAAGTCAAGCCATAGCCATCTCTCTGTAAAGCATTCTACAGAGCGTGTAAGCACTGTAAACATGTGGTCCTCTGACATTGGGAGAAACTATAGATTGAAGGCAACCAATCCCATGGACGGGGACTGTTGACAATTTTGCTACGATATCTATTGTTCCGCCGAGTATTTCCCAGCGACCATAGTAAGAGGAAACTGAAGGTGACTCAGCTACAATTATGTTGGGTACAATGTTCAGAGGTCGGAGGCATCGAGCTTACCCCTTCATGAATTCGTTCACGAATAAGCAAACAGGTATTCGCAATTCTCAAAGACACTCATCGTAGCTAGGGTACCTACTCAAACACTCGTATAGGGTATGGATGAATCGTCCCCTTTCTGGCACTTGGAAGTAAACCCTGTCCCCGCCTTTCACGATAAGCCACCACTGACCCTCAGCCTCGACCTTTTTTTGCTGTCTCTTCTCCGGGTTGCAGATGTCCCAGTTCTCTGGATCTAACTGATCCCGTGTTGGTTGCCACTTGTACCAATCAATAGCGGGCATAAGCGCGCATTACGCGCTCCACTCTACAAAGCAGAGCCTCGCCAGTGCTTCCAACCTGAACCTGCATTTGATCCCTCGTGCTGAGCTACACATTGCTCTTGTTTCATCTCAAGTTCAGCGCTTCTTAGCCAGTTCTCGAGAGGGCCAACCATAACATGTTCTTGAAAAGACTCTTCACACTTGGTCCCAGGAATCTCCGCCTTCTTCGCAATTCGGCAGTGCCCCGATTTCAATCGATGATGATGACACGTTCTGTTTCTGGGACCTCCAGGCACCCACCCTTGAGATCGTCCACAGGGCCGCCCTTGGCATCGACCTCCTTACCTCCGAGTGCACGCGAGTTTCCTTCCGAGGGTTTTCAAGTCATTGACCCAAATGACAAAGTTGAAGAAGAACGGTTGCCATTCTATCACAGACAAAGTTACTATCCTATGCGGATTGGCCAGATCGTTCAAGATCGCTTTCAAGTCATCGCCAAGCTTGGTTTTGGAACTACTTCCACCGTCTGGCTGTCTCGTGACTTAATGTCGGTTCTTCCCTCCCCTTCTCCTTTTGTTGTTTGCCTTCCCAATTGACTGGTGTCGCCTTCTTTAGCACGCAAGAGTACTGGGTTCTCAAGGTGTACATTAACTCCCTCCAAAATATCCAGGAGCTCAAGGTCTATCAGCATCTAGATGGCTTCATACCTGACGAAAATACAATTGGAAAGCCATTCGTCCGACAACTGCAGACTTCCTTCAATCTCAGAGGCCCATACGGCGACCATCAGGTTTTCGTTATGAAGCCTCTGGGTATGAGCCTAAGAACCTTGCAAGAATTCTACATCCGAAAAGATAAAATGTTTGAAGAGAATCTCGTTACTGGCGCCTTGGATCAAGTATTACTTGGTTTAGATTACTTACACGAGGCTGGAGTGGTCCATACAGGTACAGTAGCCCCAGCTCCAAACGCCCTACCCCTTGCCATTTATTAACTTGCCATAGACCTTCATTCAGATAACTTGCTGATTGATATTACTGATGACTCGGTTCTATCTAATATCGAAGAACAGGAAGTTGCCGAGCCATCAGCGCGTAAGCGTGATACAGATCGCTCTATATATGTCTCTCGTTACATGCTGGCAGGAGCTGGCTCCTTGGTTAACTCAGATCTGGGCCAAGCACATATTGGGGAAGAGCATCACGGTAAAGCAATGCCTCTCCCTTACCGAGCGCCAGAGGTTATCCTTGGTATGCCATGGGGTAACAAAGTGGATTCTTGGAGTGTTGCGCTATTGGTGAGTCCTGACGTTGAACCGTCGTATTTCTTTTACTGGGAAATGCCTTTACTAACCTGTTAAAACGCTTCCTCCTCGAAGACCTGGGATCTCCTTGAACGAAAGAGCCTCTTTACGGTTTATGATGCAAACTCTGAGGAGCAAAATGATGCACATCATCTGGCTGCAATGACAGCCTTGCTTGGGCCACCACCGCAAGAGTTTCTTCAATTGAGCAAGGAAACAAGCAAATACTGGGACCAAAAAGGTAATAATAAAAACTTTTGGAGTTCTTCGGACCGGTTGGCTAATTTTTTGACAGGTGAATGGCATGGTCCGGTCCCACTGCCTCCCAAAACATCTTTGAACACACTTGCCGAAACATTAAAAGGCAGAGGCAAAGAGAATTTCCTTGATTTTATGGATTGCTTTCTCTGCTGGCTTCCTCAGGATCGCCTCAAGGCGCATCAGGGTTATTTCCACCCTTGGCTCCGGGAGAAGAATGGCGAAAGCAGTACTTTGGCTGGATCTTAGCATGCTCAGGGTACAGAGTATGCTACCTCCAGGAATCTCAAGGGATCAGCCAACAATATTCCAGAAGCATAGTTCTAGCCTAGTTCAATTGAGTCGACCTCCATGCTTTGTCTAGGCTCATATCTTGCTCAGGCGATATATTCATCACTTAGTTGTAATAGGATAAAAAACGACACATAGAAGAGTAATTTCTTTTGATGGCAATAATGTATGAGAATGATGGAATAGAAATAGGGCTATATTGCCGGGCATCGAGGAACATCTCCTGGAAACCAAATTCACTGAGGGCAGCAGGACGAGCGCTGTTGTTCACGGCTACGGCTGATGTTTTGAAATACTGCTCCGTCGCCTAAGAATTGAAGACTTGTTTGGGCCATTGTGCTATCTAATGGCCGCTATTTCTTTCTATATCGCATAATCACCCATTTCCATATACTGGTGGCTCTGGATTCATATGTTATAGACACGCTTGAGCCCCATGGTCTTGCTTTCAAAGGCACTGTGAATACCAGTCGTTTACATACGTGCATGTCGAACCAGACTCGCAAGTGGTAGGTCCGGTCCAACCGGTTCCGCCACATTGTCCATATTTCCTATTGTTCAAAGTCACTAAGTTTCCTTTCTAGATTGGAGCAATCTTGAAAAGCATGAACTTACACTTGACCCGCAGAAGTCGATGTGGGAGCAGCGCTGGATTTCGTTGTCGTAGCAGATGGTACGGAGGTGATTCCAGTAGTCGACGTAGACAACGTTGTTCGAGTAGTAGTAGATGATACTTGGCTAGTACCACAACCGACACGGCTTGAGCCGATAGAAATATCGTCATACCAGAAGGTGTTGGCGTCGCCACCATACGACTCCCAGCCGAAGTAGATACCCGTTATACTTGGCTTATAACTGCCATTTCCCCATTGAGCGCTGTACGGGTTACTGGCATTTGGTCCGGCCTGGAGACCACTGATCGAGGTACCGTCCAGCCAGGTCTCGATGGTGCCGTCTTTGCCTAGGTGATACTCGAGGCATTGAAATTGACCAGCTTTGAGAGCGACTGAAGCCGCAATGCCGTTTGGCGACAAGTCTGGAAGCGTGGCGTCGTCAGTCTCACGATTGTACATGAGAATCTGGCTTTGGCCGCCAATTCGAAGGTGCTTGTTTGTTCCTAGGCCTGAGTCTGGCATAGTGATGAAAGTGACATGGGATGCGGTGAGAGCTGTAGATGGTTTCCTACACACGGATGCAAACTTATTAACAAAATCACGACGCATACCGAGACACAGAGAAAGCTTACACCCAGGCTCGGACGTAAATATCTCCGCTTGGCACAGAGGTAGTTCCAAAGAAGATATGACCACAATATCCGCCTGCCCCAACAACTTTCATGGAAGCGCTCCCGCCGTGAGAAGTAGATGTGTCAAGACTGATGCTGCCACCTTGGTTGCAATCAGGTGCATATGTCTTCCATTTCGTTTGGTCCCATCCGCCTTCGAAGTCGTCGGATATTTGGCCGTTGGCAAAGGAGTATAGACTCACCAGGGCTAAGAGAGCCGTAGAGCCCACCATACTGAACATTATGAAAATAGGTCACCAGAGACTCCGTTGTAGAATGATCTTTCAGTAGAAGACAGACTCATGACACATCTATGTCGTCGAGTGGCTTTATAACACTTCTTCCTTCCCTCCTAATCTTGCCAGTACTTGAGCTCCGTAGGATTGCCATCTAACTTAATTGAAGCGGAGGATCTATTCCTTCCCCATCTTGGAAGTTAATACAGGTCCTTTCGTGGAGTAATGTACGTGAGTAGATGAGTTCTAATTGCAATCGGTAAGCCGCCCGCAGATCCGGGAGGTCTCCGTAGGCCTAGGCGTACGAGATGGGAAATATTGACGCTTAGGTACTACGCATTCTTCCAGCGTCAACGTGGGGAATTGGGCTTTGCGGATAACATGACGGGCTTTTGATGATATAGCCTAATCTAGCTGTGGGACGGTGAGAGTCATGTTGGAAATTGAGTCTCGACTGGCCTTTTCTTGATTTGGGCCCGGAACGAGCAATATCCGAGGGATGTGCCGTCACACATCCGGAGGTCAAGCTACGCACAGGGGACCTTGCACGGCCCGTGGTTCCATGCTGTCCGCATAAACACCGCTCACAGAAAGCCGATTGAATCCAGCTGAATATGAGTTTCGCTTAGAGCATGTTTTTGTATAAGTGTAGCTAGCAATATGGATAATGGATAATCAAACATGAACTGATCAAACTAACATACTAAGTTCTCAGTGATGGGCAAGCATTCCAAAATTGTGGCGGATTTCTTCATCATGTTCTACTGTCTCTATGGACTGTGGCACGTCTAGTTTTCTTGCGGTCGGTTTTCGCCAGGCTAGCTCAGGGTCTCGAAGCACGAGGCTTATGAGTGAACAAGTCTTTCCAGATGCTCTATAGTTGATAGAAATGTGTCGTGCGTGAAGAATACGTTTTTTTTTCTTTTACGAGAAGCATGTTGCCGGAAGCCTCGTCGAAACGCCTGCTGTGCTTGCGAGACACCCGAAGAAGTATTTTGATAGCATCTTCTTGTCACACTGTTAGGTCAAGGCTGTCAGTTCTCTGCGAAATATAGCTCGAGTCTTTCAGAAAAGCGGTAGCAAAGATGATCTCAACTTTGTTCTCGACACAGTTAATGATAGGACGATTGATTACCTGCACGTACTGTTGGCAACCAGTCTTGCTCAGCCTTCTTGCAAAGAGAGAGAGTGTCTTCTACATCGACATTGGTATGAAAATCTTGCTACCCTTTAGTACTTTCATTTAGCTCCCTGGAGATCCTGGAGATGCAACCATACCATCGAGCTTGGGAGCTCACTGGGTGGGAATTTTGCCCGGTTTTCCTGGGCCAGACTTTAACCCGTGCGCTCGAATAGCCATACTAGCACTTGAGATTAGTTAGCTAAGTTACGAACCATATGGAGTATCATGAACAGGTAATTATGTCGTTTTCATCTCTTCCCACGTAGCTGGAAACTCCACCATAAATAATAACATTCTCCTCCTCAGTGTAATTTTCGGGGTCTAAGCCTATGAGGTCAGAAAAGTCTCGTCTACGGTGTAGATGGTGGCTCAAGTAGTGAAGCTTAGAGGACACAGGGTGGGCAGGGGGAAGTTTTGCTGATCTAGCTTATGAAGGCTGATACCTGGACTTTCGAATGTGGTTGCGATTCGGTCTAGGGTCCCATCTATCCCAGTGCCCGACAACTTCCAGTTTGCAACACCTACAATCACAGGGTCTCCGGCCTTTGGGGTGGGAATTTTCACATCAGGCTTGGTAGTCGCGCCAGTCTTTTCTGCCCCGACCGGGTCATGCGAATCTTCAACGACTAGCGCGTCATGTGAAGTCAATCGTCGGCACTATGAGCCAGCTGCCACAAAGAACATTTGCATTTAGGATCTACTGTGTGCATAAGCCCCGATTGCTAATGATCCTGCTGCCAGAATCCGAGAATCTGGGCACGAGATGAACTTTTCCGATGGTTCACTCCAAGGCAAAACACCTCTCACTGCTTGCCTCCTCGTTTCCCCACCAATGCGGCATGTTGATGATCTTACCAGCACCAAAGAACAAGAATATGAGGAGCATATTGAAGTTGAAACCGGCGTCAAAAGCTGCAGCCAGGATATAGTTCCACCTCGCCCACATCTCGTAGCGGTAGCGGTAGGCCCAAAACATGACCACGAAGCCACCCACAAAACTACTAAAGTAGCCCGTACTAATGTTCCCGTAGAACGTAGACAAAGCGGAAAAGTAGATGGTCGTATTCCAAAGACGGAACTTAGCCCGAGGGAAGTAGCGGTTCAAGATAAAGAATATGACCGGGGCTACGGCTCCCACGAGGAAGCCGTAAGGGATAATTTTGTAGATGTGTGTTTGAAATAGGCGGCGGGGCCCCTGTTGAATATAAAACGTAAGAAACTTGAATAATGTAGATTGAAGGGGGAATTTAGATGATCATGACTTACAATAAGCACATACTGGACGCTCATTGTCAAGTTGGAGGCCAAGCTCTGTGCCGTCCATTGATGAGTAGGATCCTCCTTCTCGCCCGTCAGGTAGTCAAACTTCGTGTCGAGTACCCATCGTATCACGGCATAATTAATCGGGATACCCAGAAAAGATCCAAATACCTGGGAGAAAAATACCGCCTTGGGAGGGATATGCATATAATGCCCGATCTTCATGTCCTGAAGATTCAGCTGCGCTCTGTACCAAGCATTACCAGCAATGCTGCCATAAACGGAGGCGCCCGTTGGGTTCTTGTGCCCGTTTACAGCGTTGACCATCAAACCATAAAGCAGCTCGTTGGTAGTGCCAATCGGTAGCTGAAAATTAGACAGTGCGTACAACCAACCGAGAGGAACGACAACAACAGCTCCCGTCCCAACGGCTACAAAATATGTCCAGATTGGGATGTAGAGGTTTCCCGTGGCTACAATTGTGACCAGTGCAATAAATGAGATACCAAATAGAATGGCAAACCACAGGAAGGGGACTTCGTCGTAAGAACGCTGCAGAATGCTCAGCTGATCGTCGTACTGCTCGCTGATTTTCGCGCCCTTCTTAGTAGCTCTCTCACGAAACTTGGACAAACTGCTGCTGATTTGCTTGTAGCCAAATATTGCCATCCAGGAGATCGCAGATGTATAGGAGGCGTAGTCAAAGAACATAGACCAGAGAACGTGGGTACTAACGTACGGCACACCAATCTCCGCGTATGCAGTCTCGTTGAATTTAGCGTCAGAAGTAAGGACGTCGTTGATCGGATAGGTCGTCCCATTCTCTGTCGTATCATTAGTGATAAAGTCCATCGATACGACTAGTTTATGAAATATAGGACTCACCAAGAAATAAACGGTTTGACATGAGCTTGTGATGCCACTGCCCTAGGCCCCCGAACTTTGCCGCTGGTAGCAGAATCCAACAGCTAGTGACAAACCCAAAGAATATACAGACCTGTGTCCACCAAGGTGTGAGGAACAAGCTGGTAGTACCGTTGAGATTGGATATGCTCGACCAATCCAGGGAAAGATTGAGGAATCCCATGCCGCCAAAGCCTCCGCCAACAAAATTCGCAACCGCGTTGTTTGGAGCCACCCAGCAAAGAAATGCGAGTGAGCCAAGCATCGGAAACACGAACTCGGGAAGGAACTGCCATAATGTCATAGCGAGTAGAGCAATGAAAAATATCTTCGTTTGCCGGCGAGATAAGGCAGTTGGATTTTGGCGTTGCTTCTTCTGTGTTTCAAAGAGAGCAGTCTGGCACAATCTGAGGGAAAAGGTGTTTGTCAGTTTCTTTTATGTGAATAATGGAGGAACAGTTGAGCATAGAGAAGTAATATGAGGTACTTACGATGTAAACCAGGGGTATTGAGGATCGTAGATTAGAAATTGCCTGCCGAGAGCTGCAAAACTATATCCCGTCCAAACAATCCCCCACATGAAGAATATGGCAACAGCTGGGTTTATTCTCTGACCAAAGTACAGTTCAGCCATTGACACGGGGGTATATCCTAGGTTATAGGTGGCACCTGAAGCCGCTGAGATGGTAATGAGGACATGCTCCTTGACACTGAACGGTCCTGGGTTCAGATTAAAACTCCAAGGGGTAAATGGAACTTTGATGTTCCATGCAGGCAGAATTTGGTGCAACCAAACCCCAGCATAGCTCGATGCGATTTGCACAAAGAAGACGGAGTACGGAGCGTAGGTAGTGCGATAGTGGCTCATCATACTGAGAAATGCCCCGGGTATCACGAACAGTATCGTGAGTACGAAGTAACGGAAGGTTAGAGTGGGGAGCTCTGGATCGTCAGTGAAACTGACCACCCGGCGAACGTAAGCGGGTATGTCCTTGAGTCGAGGATCGTCATTGTCGAAGGCCTCTTCGGACCCATTGGAAGCTTGTGAGGTAAAAAGGAAGGGCGGCTTCTCAATGTCATCTTCTTGGGGCTCATGACTGGCTGGCTGTGGTAAGTCATCGCCAGAAGACTTCGGTACGTCCACACCGGTGGTGGCATTGCTGCCTTTCTCATTCTTGACCGACATATCTCAGACAAGAACGAGTTTGATGGTAGACGTAGGTGATGTGCCAGCTCTCAACAAGCGGGTTTCCTGGTATAATATGCATGGCGTGCAGGTCAACATAAATCCCAACGCCGGACGGGGGTCTGCTCGATGTGAGAAGGACATTGGTGAGACAAAGAATTGCGTTATCATGAAACTGACCATTAGGGCCGGTTGTGGCAATCTGGGTTTCTCCAAAGTATGGAACAAATGCTACGAGGAGAAGAACATGCAACAGTACTCCGATCAAAGCCATACACCAAGTCCCACTACTCGGATATTCGGCAGATCTAGGTCTTCTGAACATCCCGATAGAGAAGCCAAGACCAGGGATTTAAATGTAACGATAATTTTTTGTCCGTAAATGGCAAGATGTGCTCATCAGAGCGATTGCACCATCACCAAAAGTTCCCCTCCAAGTCTAATTGACTCTTTGAAAAACTGAGCAGGAGAGAGGTTAGAGAGAATTGTTCTTGAGGATCAGCCCACCCAAACGCGCCCTTGAAATGATCCTTGACAAACACAATCCTGTAGTTATGTTGAGCTAATATTTCTAAATGGCCCCCGGGTTACATTGTGCAGACTTTGCATGCCGATTTTGCCGGCATGTAACATTATCGGGAAGTGGGAGACGCGAGAGTTTCTCCGGGTCGTTAACACATCGGTTTCATTGTGGTTACCTCAGCTATGATTTATTGGAGAAGTAAACGAGATGATGCCAAAAATAATTATCTATTTTTAATCTAATAATCGCATGGTTCAAGCATGCTCCGATAAAAGTAAGGTCCTCAGGACCATATCTACAGTATTATTGGCCATTGTGTCAAATATGCCTCGACAGCTCAGATGATGCTAAGGTCTATAGAGGCTCGAGTCAAACCATGGCTAGAAGAACAGGGCTCTACAATTGTGCCATGCATGGTAGCTACTCGGGAGAGGGTTCGTTACATGTTATAAGCAGGTATCGGTTTGCTTTCTACACGTGGGGTTATCCGCAGTCAAGCTTGGATAATGCGTTTGCCAGTTCGGTATAGAGGTCCTTAGTGCTGCGCTGCGGCCTATGGCATTGTCGATTTTGCTACTTTCTTTCTGTGGCACTTATCCATTTGCCAAGCTTTCAGATAGTTATAATTTTGTCATTGGTAGAATTGTATAGCAGCAAATTATGAGGCTGTGCCCCGAATAATGAACCCTGAGCATTCCTATTATAAATTAGTGGCACTTAGCTACTAGGCCGTGATCTAAACAATCTTTCTTTACTGCTAGATATCTCGATCCATAGTCTGTGGCTGTAGGGCACTTTCCAGTGAAGTCGAACCCCAGGTTGAGGTGTTGGGAAGATATCGGGATTGGCTAGCCGCTGCCCTTCACTTCAAAGCGTCGTCGAATAAAGGGACATGTCTTTCCAAAATTGGTCTGACTTCCTCGATCAGAATGAACGGAAAATACAATTTATCCCGGTTGCAGTCTGCCTGTGAGCGAAAACAGGATATCCGCTTCACTCTCTACATATATAGCAAAGGTGGAAGCTAGAACACCTCTGCAACGGATTGATCATGAACTGGAATTTAAATAAAAGGTTAAAATACCCGGACCAGATTCGAGAGAGCTAAGTTCGAGGGGCGTTTGCCAACAGGCCAATGACGGTTGACATCCGTTTGCGGAGGCGTCTGAATTCAAACTTTATATGTACTCAATTTCCCATATCCTTCAGTAAGACGAATCCCCAGGTCGTCCCCCAACTCTCTTTTATCTTAAATCGACATATAACTAACCTCACGATGCAGAACCCCAGTCAGGCTCCCGAAAAGGCCGACCCCCTCCATGTCTCAGGCCCCTCGCAGCAGTACGTGTACGACCCTTCACGGCAACAGTATGTACAGCATCCCTCGCTACAGCAACAGGTGTACGACTCCTCGCAGCCGTATCCATATGATTCCTCGCAGCCGTACATACACTATCCCTCGCAGCTGCATCTGCTAGATCCGCAGGAACAGCACCCTGCCCCCGCCTACAGTGCCGAGAACCCGCATCACCCCTCGGGGCAGGGATACAATGGCTTCCTAGGCCCATATCCATCGGGCCCAGGGCCGGTTCCTCTCGCCGACAAGCCGTCGCATGGCTTTGATGGGATCCAGCAAGGCCAACATCCTGCACAAACCACCAGGCCAGGCGCCACGGCCGCGATAAAGAGAAGGGGCCGCGGACTCTTGACCAACCCGCGCAAATGGTCACTCAAGAAAAAGTTGATCGTGGCCGTGTTGCTCATCGTGGTGCTTGTTCTCGTCATCGCCGTCCCTGCCGGCCTCCTGCTGAACAGAAAGCGCAAATGCAAATGCCCTGGCTGGTACGATCGCAAGAACAACTACTTCCCGGCCACATATTATCCGTGTGATGGAAAAGGAAAGGACCTGAACACGAACAGGATGCCTTCATGTAACTGGGAATTCTTTGGCCGTTACTGAGCTGCCCGGATGTTCGGCTCTGAGTCTAGCACCATCTGGACCAGGACTCTGGAGGCTAAGCGGTCAGATTGGATCCGCTTTGAGCACTACGAGGCTCCCAGGCAGGCTTTCAGGACGGGTTAATCAAAAGGAATTCCTTCCGGCGCTCATACGTTAAGCCCGGTCATGTCCCAAGGCCGCGCAAGAAGCTGTCTTTTCGAATCTGATTGAATGAGGGCCGAAACTTGAAGATGAGCGGTCCAAGAAGCTGTAATATCCGAGTCTGGAAAAACAGAATGTATCTAATTAATATTGTATCACGGCCATTGCAGCAGTGTTACCACATCAGAGAACCTGGATGAGGCGCAGGCTTGATTTAACCCACAGATAATTTGACTTGCCCCCGCTAGGCTTTCTTCATATTTGGGGAAAGGGGGGAACATATCTCTGTGCACGATCCGCAGAGGACGATTTTCTTTAGTTAATCTTTTACGAAATCTACGGCTACATTAATATTTAATATTTGTCTCCCATTGCGCGTAATGTTGGCAATGAGACCTCTCCAATTGCATCCCAAGATACGTGCAGCTGCAAGATGGAAATACTCGCACACTAGAACGATTTCCACCGCCATCCATCAACCTGATCGTCTTCCGTGGAACACGCTGGTATCCAACTTGCAGTACGACCCCCAGGTCGATTGTAAAAATGGCAGAGCAAACCTCACGTTTCGGTTTCAGCATAACCAGAGTGGATTGCTAAATTACTTTGTCGATTCTTTGATCCGGGTCATCAACGATCAGGCAGATGAACTACGCCGCACTTTTCCAGTAAACTATGAAACTCCATCATCCGATGATGTAGTAATTAGCGATGAAGTGGCCATGAGAATCTTACCTCTTGTCCACACCTGGCGGTCGCAGTGCTGGGACGGAACCTCGGACAAGCACGAAATGGGAACTACGAACGATACTGTCGAGTCGGAGCCGTGTTCGCATACGGAGCACGACAAGGACTGCAAGTGTGCATTGCCTCTGAAGGAGAGAAAGATGGCAGCCTTCCTCAGACAGTACGAGGAGAATGATTGTTATTGCTTTATGCAAGTAAACGGCGATGCCTTTTTCAACCTCGAGATCACCAAGACTCTTCTGATACAGGGAGAAATCGACACAATTTTGAAAATCTTTTCACATCCAGATGTTGATTATTCCGAATGGTGGAACCAGGCGGAATGCCATTGCAATGTGAGCGAGTTCAACATTGGGTTAGATCAAATCTACAACATAGCTTTGAGATCATACGTTACCCTCAATGCACTTCTTCATTTTCCCCAGCTGTGGGACCATGCATTATCTCATTCAGAGGATGCCAATGATTACCGGCAACTGTTAGCTTACAAAAAGATGGTAATGGAAACCACGAAGACGAATCCGACGACAGAGGTGGCTACATATCCACACAGGCAATTCTTTGGCATAACACGGCCCCAATCCAATGGTTTGACGGGTCTCAGGGAGCCAATACCCTGGGAGGAACCCTCAAAGTCTGGGAAGTACTCAAACTTAGAAGTAGTTGGAGTACCTCGTCGACTAGTTGTGCCTCACCATCCATTTCATCCTGACAACTTGGAGAAGCTGCACCTGTATCTTGAGTATTGCTGGAAGCTGATTCTGAGATGCGTCCTACTAGACCGAGCCCAGGATCTCAGCTTTGGAGACGAGATTGATACGATCACCAAGATAGTGAACGATCTGGGCTCTTGTGGTTGTTGCGGAGGCACGAGCGCTATGAAATACGGGCCATACGGGGGAGAATCACAAAGATGGATGCATAGGTTCGTTTAAATAAATACCACATCTTAACCTAAGAAGTCAGGATCATTCGTGAGCAAGACTTGCCCCTATCATAGACTAGCCGCACACCCACTGGTGCTCTTTGAGATGATATTGTTTGCGTTGGCGGTTCATTAATCGCCAGAAGTTTGGGTATCTCGTCACGATTCTCAGAAGTGACAACGAGCAAAGGCATAGAGTAGAAAGGAAGAATATAGATATACACATTCGGATTCAAATTGGCGTACATAAGCCAACATCTTAGTCGTAGGCTCGAGTCGTAGATCAGAGAACAAACTGCTATATACTAAAAGATCTAACTTCCATATTGGAGCAGTGTGATAGGATAGCCTACCGTCGTGCGAAATCAAGAAAATCCACTCCACGTTTTCTTCACAATCTCCCAATACCGATGCTCGTCTGTTCTGGCATGTGCCACGTGAGCCGAGTTCTCAAATCTCTCTAGTTTAACAGAGAATCCCTTCGCCTCGGCATCGGCCGCATGGCTCTCGACGCCTTTGTCGTCAATCAACACATCGGTACCGCTGTAGATGTATACGCGGTGGGCCTCAGTCTCGACAGGCTTATTGTTATGAGCCTTTGCCCAGTCACCCGACGTGGTCACAAGGCCCAAGGCAACTAAGACGGACCATCCGATAGCCCAGATGTAGAGGAAAGGTGTAGCTACTATCCGCTGGAATGGCGACATGCCGAGGCTCACGAACGTCACCGCATGGCCAACACTGTAGACACTCGGGCTGGAATCAAGAATCATGGCATGTCGGGGAAAATGCTCGCCAGGACCCGCTGAAGCGGCGAACTGTTCATAGAGATTGGCAATGCTGCCGGAGCCACCGTTGGAAAAGAGGTGAATCAAGACCTCGGGCGACGAGGGCAATGTTCCTGGCGGGTGGACGTCACGAATAACAGGAATCGCAGCTTTCATGGCTGGCCCGATCCGTGATGTTCTATAGATCTCTGCTGTCGTATTCTTGAGGAGCAGAATCTGGGCTCTGGGATACAACGCCTGGTATTTGACGATGTACTTGGCTATATGAACATCTCTGGCATCTGTCCAGCTAGCAACGATGATGAGCCGCGGTTGTTTGTTCGTAGAGCTGGAACTAGATTTCTCTATCTTCGGTGGGCGGTATAGTGAGACCAGTCGCCCCAGTCGCTCCATGAAGAAGAGCGGTTTCGGCGCTGAGACTCCCGGGGCTGGTTGCATGGTTCTGCCGGGACCGAGACGCCGTTTCCTTGAAGAGATGGACTAAATTACCTACTGTCGAAGATGAGAGAATAGAGTCTAAGTGTTGGCTTTAATCAACAAAGAGAATAACCCACATTTACAATGTAGAAGGAATGTTGTGAAAACTTGAAATACCTGTCTGACCAAAAGTGACGGCTTTTTAATACGAGCACCCCTGCCGCCTTGTGGGAATAGCCAAAGCATCAGCAGCTTATTCATGAAAATACTAGAAACGGTAATGTTGAGCGAGATACAATCCACAACATCTAACTGCATTCATACACAGGAATATTCACCAGACTCATAACAGTTTACGCGTTTCATCCGAGGAATATTCGACTCATCTAGTCTCCAGAACCAAGGAAGGTTGGTAGTTGGAGTCGCCTAGATCTTTGGCCGAGATCAAAAGTTGGATTGCTGTGGCCACGGGTACAGCCCACCCACTTTACGCTTAACAGACCCTTGCTGGCTGCTGTTTCTCATTTCGTTGCAGACTCGATTTATTGCTTGCTTCGATTATTTTTTGACAAAAATTTTTACGAGCTACTGGCATTATACTAGGCACCTACGTATATATAGCCACACCTAAAATGTCATACGTGACTTGTTTCAAAGGAGGGCATCTTGGCAGATCTTTCTTATTTGTCAGTTTACGACGTCAAAATAGCCACATTTTATTGCATGAATGCAAAGTCTCTCCAAGCCACGTATGGAGAAAATCGGGGTTCAATTCTTCATTGCCACCGCATGGACCTCACAACTGGAAATTCATTTCGATCGGCACTTTATCAATCATCAAGCTCTCCAATTTCCAGGTCTTCTTGCCGCTTATTTCTTTTAACTACACAGCCATGCCATATCGAAGTCGCCATGGCCGCCATAGAGGGTCCGCACCGGCGTTGATGTGCTACCGAGGGGACACTCGGAAAGCGTATCTCAATACACCGCTGGAGCGCAACGAAGAGTACGAGGCAAAATTACAACAGATCAAACGATGTCGCGGTACCCTCAGTCAAGAAGAAATAGAACTTCAGGATGAACTTATGGCTATGGAAGCCGATCAACGGGACACCAGATGCGCAGCTCTAAAAAGAGAGATCGAGTCGTATTTTGACAAACCTAAGCCCTTCCCACCGCCACTACCGCGATCCAGTATTTGGCTAGAACACACCTATCCTTATAACTATCGAATTGAGCACATGCGAATGTTCTATCTGGCCTGCCAAGAGGGGAGACTCAATGATGTTGAGGAATGGTTGAGGGACAGGCGAGATATGCTCAGTCCGATTGGGCTTCGAGATGGACTGGACGTAGCCGCCATGGGTTCTCAGGTTCACGTCGTCCGATACTTTATAGAGGAAGTAGGCGTTGGTATTACGGGTGCTGCTGTGATGTACGCGTGCAGGAACCAGTCTTTGCCTCTCTTTGAGCTGTTTATACAGCATGGCTACCACCCGAATCAGCAAGTCCCTAGTAATTGCGGTAGCTTTGGAACAGCGCTACTTGACTGTCTTGGGAGTGAGGATATCACGCGTCTTCTGCTCGAGAATGGGGCTGATCCAAACGCGGCGCCGTTCATGGACGGCCGTCGTCATATGTGGGGTCAGCAGTCGACTGTTCCTATGGACAGGACATCTGGTTTGCTGTTGGATAAAGCTGTCGAGAAGCACAGCTTCGCTGTTGTTAAGCTTCTTCTTGAGCACGGCGCCGAGGTGAGATATTCGCGACCTTTGGAACGGTTAATACGCTACCGCGGTGAGTATCTTCGCTCCGTTGGTTTGGATGATGACTGGCGGCCGCTCATCGAGATGCTGTTGAGCTATGGTGCGGATATCAACGCAGTAACCTATGGCGGTGGCACGGCCCTTTCAGCAGCCCTACACCGCGGGCGATGGGATGTAGTCGAGTTTTTGATTCAGAACGGTGCCGATGGTAGGGTTGTTACTCCAGTGTCCAAAAAGGATTCCTTCGCTTATGCCGCCGAGGGTGCTCAGGTCGAATGGGAGATTACAAACGAGCTCAAGGAGTACTTGGATTATCTTTGCGGCTCGGATTCCAGTTCGATCGCGAGTCATGTGCCCCCTCCCGGAGTTGATCAAAATCCTTTGGTTAAAATGTTCATCAAAGTGAAGACCAAAAGAGACGAGGCAGGAGGACAACATGATAGGAAGTGATAAGGCCAAAGACATCGAGGCTACGTCCTGGAACATAACGGAGAGGATATATCATCGTCCTAGACAGCATATATGCTTCAAACCTGGAATCTGTAAACCCGCGTTGCCTGGTTATGGTGAACGCTTCTTCTTGAATTTAGCAAAGAAATAGTTAGTTCCGATACACATGGTTTTAATTAACTTTCTTCCAGGCTTCGAGTCCCTGTTTCTTTCTCTCTCCCTCATATCGAACCAGGTCAGGGATCAGTTCCGTTAGCTCTGGGCCCTTGGGCTCCCAGCCAAGAAGCTTCTTTGCCCGCCTCGCCGCACCCTTGCTGTTAAGGCCCCAGGTTATAGGTTCCATGCCGTACTTCTCCTTGGCCGTATTAACAGTAAGTTGAGTCGTTTTGGGCACCTTGATATAGCCCTGCTTATAGGCTTCTTCGGCAATAGCCTCGGCGATTTTATCCCATCGATGAGTCCCACTCGCAGCAAAGTAGTAGCTGTTTGGGCCAAAAACCTCCTTATTAGGATCATGAGTCCCCGATTTATTGGCATGCTGCACGAGCAGTGTAATCAGGCTGGACAGGTCGTGAATATGGATGTGGTCCCATTCCGCAAGGCCATCTCCAATAACAGGCGCTTCGCCGTTTTCGATTGTCAAGGCGCTGAGCAAAGGAATCTGACGACTTCGCTGGCTGATGGGACCTCTTCCAATGCCGTAAATCGTTGGGGGGCATACAATGGCAATTTTGACCGCCTCTGGATCCTTGCTGGCCTCCGCGAGAACGATTTTGTCAACATTACGATGCCAGGCGTAGTCGGGAAGATTTAATATAGCGTCAATGCCATCTAAATCATCATACGCCTGTTCTGGCAGCGGCTTTTGTCCAAAGCGCTGGTGCTCCCAGTCATACCAGGTAAGGATTCCCGTACCGCCGATGTGAATGTAATATCCAGGGTTGGAGTGCGAATGCGTGGCCCGGAGGCCATCCGCGATGGCTTGGGCCGAGGCTGGATGATCAGACGAATCTGCGGTGTCTATTCAATCCCGTTGTTAAATAATAGTTCAGATTACATTACTCGGGGGTGGTGACATCTTCTCACGGATGACGATGTCGGCTGTAGATGCAGCATTCACGATGATTTCGGTATCATCTAACGAACCGATGACAACCTTGATATCGGGGTAGGCTTCTTGAATCTGCTTAGCCTTCTCTTTATCTCTGATCAGGACGGAGATCTCCCAGTCGGGCTGGGCCTTGTGCACTGCGTAGAGTGCATCGCCGCCAATGAACCCGGACGCCCCGGTGCTTAAAGAAAAGTGTGAGCGGAATAGGGCTGGCGAGCAGCGGATAGTCGAGGGGTGGAACTTACAGGAAAACCTTCTTGATTGGCATTCTCGTAAAAGCTTTCTTTTACTCGTGATAGACACAAAGATCAGGTATACGGAGAAAACGGGAATCTCGCGAGGCATTTATCATCGTTGATTTATGATGTTACCAATCCCCACCTCCCCCGCAGATATGAACAAAAACGTCATCGACAACAAACGTCATGAGAGTTTCGTATGCAGCGAAGACGCAACACAAAAGAATACTAGCCTCAATAATGATACAATCAGCTTCGAACCTTAACACACGCGTCAGCTCGTTCATGAGAAGAATCGAGCTTCCTGAACGGGTGACCTTGATTGCCATACGAGTGCAAATACGTTTTAATGTGAGGCTTCAGGTATTTCAAGGAGTGATGTAGCCAGCGCGGTACCTATACACACAAGGAGGTTCAGTTTTTTCTAGGCACAATGTTACTCTTACGCGATTACGCATGTAAGTAAACCCTCTAGGTGGTGTTGCTTCGACACTCGTCGTTACGTTTAGCTACCTACTCACAGTTACTATTACAGGGGATGAAGAAAATTCAAGATGAAGATCAAACGTATTTCCGAGGGTATCGACACATGGTGAATGAATATTTGTTTGTGAATATATACTTGTTTGTCGTAAATCTTCATTGACTTTCGAAAGGCTTGGGTTGACTTCTGCAAATCCCCTGTTGATGTGACACCTTAACCCACTCCACTGTCCCAACTCTTCCTTGGCTTAAATTCGCTCTCAAGAGGGCCAACTTTCAGAGTCTAGATATCTTTTGGTACATTGCTTTAGCAGCTTGACTTTGTAAAGCTGAGACTCAAAGGATAACGTTGCTTGGGTCGTGGTGTCCAACGATCGGTTTTGGTCTAAACGGTGGACCAGCTGACAACAGCAGTTCCGGTCAGGGGTGCACAAGTGTTTCCTGACGCTCGGATGACGATGCTGCCAGTGCAGTCAGCTCCAGTCCAGCCAGCGATGGAAGCGCTTTCACCCCTCAGTGCGATAGAGCCGGAGCCAGCAACAGCTTTGTTGACACAGGTGCCGTCATGGAAAATATTGACACCATCGCTATTTCCAGAACAATCGTTGGTAGGGAAGTAGGAAGCGTAGAAATCAGCGGCCGAGACGCTGGAAGCAGCAGTAAGTGCGAGGACTGGGAGTGAAAACCTCATGTTGATGTTTGACAAAGCTTTTAGTTGCGAGGTCGCTGCGGGGGTGATCAACGTATATCGTTACTGACTGAAGATGGCTAAAGTCTACGAAACAACTTCAGAATAATGAGTCGAGCAACATTATATATTGAATTAAAGTACAAGGGGTTGTCGCAACCAACAACTGACGGGCGGGGGTTCCCATCCTGATGTTTTGGCCACATCTTCTCGGGGATCTAGAACGTATGTTGTCCGAGTATATTCAGCATCAGCTTTGCAATACAGTTTGCCGCAAAAAATAATTTCCAGACAGGGATTCTCATCCCGATACGTTGACCACATCGCCTTAGGGATCTAGAAGGTAATATCCGAGTATATCCAGCATCAGTTTTGCCACTGAAGGTATCGAGTTTGAGATCGGACTCAAGCAAACAGTATGAACATTTCCTATTACAGTTGCATTGTGCGCCGCAACTGCCGTGGCAGTGGGTATTATCCCATAAAGCAAGGGCCTGTTCTCCTCCTTTTAAATTAGACTTCCGCTTTAGTAAGGTGTTGGTCATATTTCTATGCAAAAGTCCTGCTGTCAGCAATTAATGGTCAGCTTACTCTCGCAACAGAAGAGCCTAGTTGAGAAGGAGGGCGAATACCCATAGATATTCTACGACCTGAAACACTTCGCTCGGTGACCGTGATTCCGAGTATTGAGAGGGAAACAATAGAGGCCAATATCAACACGATCAACTTCCTATATTCAGTTTTAAGAAACATATACTAACAGGCATACTCAGATCATGATTATAGTGATTATGGTTATTAGCAAGGGGGTTTATTAGGTCAAGTTTCTTGCCCTCACGATTAACAATAATCATTTTAAGTCTCAGTGATATATTAGTAGAGGTAGACATCCTTCCACCACAAAACTATTGTTCAAGTATCAAAGCCCAAAGATTCACATAGCTACGCACATCTGCTTTTTTTTCTCGTACCTTTAGATTCTATTGGGGGAGTTTCCATTTCTAAAAAATGAATTAACTAATTGGCAATTTAGACTGAAGATGAGAGTTATAATGCTGTTCTCGGTCCTATGACTTATGCCATGTTCGGTGTCTCCAGTACTACATCTATATTGTATTTACCATAATGCGTTCGATGAGATATGAGAATGATCCATCTACTATTAAGGAGCCATCAAATTTATTACGATTATAGTTTTCTAACGCCACAACACGTGAAACGCGAAGATTGGAGCAACAGAAGATGTTATCTTGTTCAAATTTGCAGAGCTCTGTTATGATCTGCGCTACATTCAGATCAATAATAGGAGGCCTTTCAGATATGATAACAATGGACAAGGCACTATAGGCAAAGGAGTTCGAGATATTCAAATCCGTTAGGCTGATCACAGTAGACTAAAGTGTTAACGCTTGGCGTTATGGGTATATTTATAATTTGTCCAGACTCTTTGTTATTAATTCTTTAGTAATATATGGACCTTTTAAAATGAAAACACCTGGTCTTCAAGCTTGCTCACTGGTCGTGCTTTCTCAAACCCAAGATTTTCTGTAGCTTTCTTCATAGCACTAATCATAGGGGGCGGGCCACAAAGTAGAATCTTCACATCCGGTGCCGGCTTAGGGAGCCATTTCTACAACAGAAGAGAATATGTTAGCAAGGGACTGAAACTTAGGAATTCGGAAATCGTCTTACCCTAATCATATTCTCTGTCACGAAGCCAACACCGCCGATGAAACCTTGGGGCGGCTTATCCAACACGTAGTGTACTCGGAACTTTGGATCGGCCACTGCAAGGGCGTCCAGATCTTCCATGAGTAATATGTCTTGCTCCGTCACATTGGCAAAGATTAGATCAACCTCAGTCATATCTCCAGCCGCACGCCCTCGGTAGATAGCGGTCACAATTTGCAGCATCGGAGTGAGTCCGGTTCCGCCGGCGATCATGCCGAAGTGCCGAACCATGTTTGGTTTGTATGAGAAGGCTCCCTTGGGGCCGCGGACCCGAATGGACTGGCCAATCTCGAGAGCCTCGATGTGCTTTGAGATGTTGCCTTTGGGGTATGTCTTGATGAGAAGGTCGAAATAACCAAGTTGGTGATCGCCTGAGACAGGTGTGTAGGAGCGGATGATTTCTTTGGAGGTGCCGTCTGGTTGAGGTAGAACAGCTCCGATGGAGATGTGCTGGCCGATTGGGAGCCCAAGGACTGAGTCTTCTGAGGGCAAGCTGAAGCGGTATCTGCGAGGCCGTCAGTATCTATAAAGTAAGATTTCCCGTTGTTCATCCCCAACTTACACTGCTACATTGTGTGAAATATTCGATTTTTCTTTTAATGGGAAGAATTGAAAGGAGTCTGGTCGTAGGACGGTTGTTGGGCTGATTGTGATTTCTTTGATCTGTTGGATGACTTCGGTCTTTTTGGCTTCGGGAACGGAATTAGGGGAGATGTCTATGACAGTTGGTGCAACTTCGACTGTCGTCTCTGGATTTGTAGCTGGAGAAGGTGTTGTGGTGGTGACCTCTGAGACTGCTGCCGATTTCAAAGTACCGACGCAAAGAGTTTCTAAGATTTCAGCGGCTTCTTCAGAGTGCCCAACATCTACAAAGGCCTCGGTTGCGTCCTGTCCAGCGATGTCGGATATTAATTCTCCACCACCACTATTGTACTTTATGTCAGCTACGGCTCATATTGTGGGACGAAAGCCCGCGACTACGCGTACGCAGTCATGGAATGAAGAGTAAACAAGGATGGCGGGGTCACCTACGGGTGGTCTGCCACGAACGAAGCGCAGCTATAGACTTTGTTGTGGACAACGATGTACAAATCATCTGCTGTATTGTGCAGCTGCACATCAGCAAGTGTGAACTCCTGTGCCATTGTGCCAGAGGATGTATGAAGTTTGGGGAAGGACTAGTGAAACGGAAATGAAATCGCTGAGAATTAGGTGACCAAGGTAGATATGCCAACTCATGTATTGTCAGGATCGGCCTTTATATTAGTCGATCCGAAGAGAGGACCGGTAGGTATCCCGTGGACCCCTACTCCGACCCGAGTAGGCATTGCTAATCGCCATAGACAGGATTGGGCAGTGCTATCAACCAGGGAGTGCTTCCAGATTTCCCCAGACCCACCGTCGAGTTGAGATCCTCCGATATCGTTGCCTATTCGAAAAGTAGCACGGAAGCATAAAGTCATGAGGTGGACATGCTGGACACCAGTCATGCTTGGTTGAAGTCTGGGGCAATACGGCCTCATCCAGGACGGCTCTGAAGCGAACACATGTTATGGGGACGGAGGGCCCAGGCCTGGAAGCCGGCGGTGCATAGATAAGGCATGGCCACTTTTCCACAAGAGGAAGCTTACATGCAATGTTTGTGTTGATCTAGCCTTTGCTGGCGTAGGCCGGAGTTGTAGATGCCTTCCCCACCCGGCGCACGGCGTCAGACTCCGTGATTTAGCATCACAGTTGATAGCAACAGTGCGGCGAGGCCTGATACTATGTAGTAGACAACATGATCACTCGTCTGGTCCGCGTGACACACCGGCGGCCACGTTGGTCAGCTCCGGGTGGTGACCTGAAGCGAGCTGCTCCGCTATCGTATCTGAGATAATGTTGCAGTAGCAGTAGCCGGGGCGAATCCAGGACCCGGCTCCGGCCCAGAACCGTCATAATTGTTCATCCCCGTGAGCACCCGTGAGGAGGAGAGGAGAGACCTGGGTTGAGAAAGACGTTGGATAGGAAAACAAGCTATTTTCTAACACCTCCACCACCCACTAGTCTTCTAACACTGACTTGGCAAGGCTCAAGATCTCCCTAGAACAATCATCAGGCTTTTCTAAGTTCACCCAGTGGCCAGCCCCCTCCACGATAACCGTCCCCTTATAAAGCCCCGCCCCTACACTTTGCTCGTTCTCCATTGCCTCCAATGCCCCTGGAACCTGATAATTGCCCCAGTCCTTTGCGCCGCCAACATGTTTGGTAGGGACTGCTAGTCTTTTCCCAGCAAAGACAGTCAGCTCCTGCGCCAAATCCGGGTCAGTGAACACCTTGTACCATCTCAAAGCATCCATGAACGATGTCCGCGACCACTCTGCGGTATACACAGCAAGCTCCTCCTCTGGGAGCCAAGGAGTCTTTGCCAGGTTGTCCCTAACAGCGGAGGGCTCTTTGGCCATGTCGAACGCCACATTCTCTCTCATTGAATGTCCTGCCCGCATAGTGTAGTAATGAGGCATTACTGCGAGTTCATCTGCCGTCCATGATTTCAGCCGACGAGGCTGATTCCCACCATAGTCTGCTGATTTCAAGTGGAAATATCCCCGCAGAAATTCGTGCAGAGGCTCGCCTGCAGGGAAGCTCCACTCGTCCGCTGCGGAAGGGGACGTATTATACCACTTGTAGAGCTGCCTGGGTGGGTTGAACTTGAGTAAGGAAGCGTGAATGTCCGGATCCTTGACGATCGAGGTGTCTTTGGATAGGCTATACGGCGGCAGCTTCACCCCCGAAGGCTTCTGGTTCCCAAAAGGAAGAGCCGGCGGCCCACCATATGGATGATCAAAAAGAACAAGTGACTTTACCATGTCGCTTCGTGTCAAAGTGAAAATAGAGGCTGTCGCCGCCCCAAGATCATGACCAACAAGCGTATGGATTAACTCATAACCCAGCGCATGAACAAGCGCCGTGACGTCACGGGCCAGTGTTAGAGGCCGAAAGCTTTCCTCGGGAAATGGCTTCAAATCTGCTCGATGCGTGCGGCCAAAGCCTCTCTGGTCAAATGCGACAACATAATACCCAGCCGCGGCGAGGGAGGGCATTACATGATTCCAATCATACGCAAGGTTCGGGAAGCCATGAATGAGAAGAATGAGAGGCGTAGAAGTCTCGAAGATTGGATTAGTTGGTTTGGATTCCAACACGTGAAATTTCGGACCAACGGGCGAAGTGTCAACAAATCGCGAAGTGACTCCTTCTGGGAGCCTCAACGGCGGCAACTTCGCAGGGTCTGGGATGAGTTCGGAATCTGACATGGCTTTATCCAAAGACCACAGATGAGATTAGGACAAGGAATAACGGTTGTGTTGGGAAGAAATCGAGTGAAGAGTCATAACGCTGACGCGACCCCTCACATCGGTTAACCGAGGCTCCGATTAAAAATCAATTGCGCGATCGGCATTACTGATGATCTTGCTAGTTGACATGACCATTATGTTGATAAATAAATGAGGCCGAACCACTTCCCGGCAATCATTATCGCCCAGATGAAATACTACGGAAAACTGAGCTACCATAATACCATCATTCAGATTATTCTGCCATATCATCTTGACTAGTGTGTATACATTCGAAAGGGCATGGCCGACCATCACATTATGGCTGCCCATAGTGATATTATTACCTTCTGATATCGATCTCCCGGAGCTAAACTCATGACCGAATTGTCGTTGACTCGCTGAAGAACAATTAATGGTCAGGAAGGGAGGAAGGGGGGGGGAGTCATGCGGTTGCATCACGACATCACTTAAGCAATCGAATGATCTCAGAATTTAACTACGGAAGTTTTCTGTTATATTGACAACCCCGTGGGTGATAGATATTCATAATCAAGCTTTCAAAGTAGGGTCGTTTCCAGGTCACCCTCCCAGTGTCAATATAAACAATTTCGAAGCAAACCAAGAAAGGCGTCTAAGGGTTGTAGCTAATGACTTTGACATTTCTCACAGAGTAAGTCGTTGCTATTTCGAGAGGAATGAATTAGTCATGAATACTTCAGCGAAGACCAGAGCGCGAGGGACCTACTCGTAGATGGACCAGGAGACCCGGAGGAGCCCTCCATTTGGTAGTTGATGATACTAGTCATGTCAGTATTCATGATCATCCATTCTGCGCATTTCATTGCTATGCTCACAAATATAATCCCGCATTAACGTAGTTGGACCCATGCTGGGTTGCAACCAAAGTGTTATCCAAGTAAAACTTGACGCTAACATCCCGACCGTTGGCATCTCGAATCTCGGCCCGGACAGTGTGCCACGCCTTGGGATTTGGGTAAGCAACATCTAGTGCAGTTACTTGGCTGGAGGTGTTGAATGTGTTGAAGGATATTTTGCCGCTGCCCTTCCACTCCGCAACATCAATCTCGGGTGGCCATCCTTGGACCGCTGTCAACCAAAAAGCAGGCCACGTGCCTTTGTCCACTGGTGCGATGAAATCTGCGGAAAAGTCGAAGCCGCCGCCAGCCTGCACGGTGAACGTTTTCTTGGCGTGGATCGCTCCCGACAGATAGTGAATCGGAATATCTTTTCCGCCGTGATGGGCAGGTGGTTGGCCAGTGACTGGTTTCGAGGTCAAAGTAAGGTATCCTTGAGCTGTAGATACTTGGCTCTTGTCCATTCTTGCACCGCCATTGTGGTCAGTTCCCCATGGATAAAGGTAATTCCAGTGCGAATCAAAGGAGGAGAAGGAGTTCGACGGAATAAGTGTGGTCTGCCCAAAAGCCAATGCAGCAAGTTGGGCAGCGATGTAGAGTTTTAATAGCATTTAGACAAATTGTAAATTGGAATCGTTAAATCTTGGTGCTCGTGTAATTTTGAGATGATCAATGTGGTTTCCTACTTCATTATATAGTAACGTACCCTTGGGACTCTTACTTTCTCCCTGCGACAGAACCGCCCGTTTCATGTCACCGTTTCATGAGCCAGGATATGTCACGATCGTCCAACATCTTTACCCGGACGAGACCTGATTGGTGCTGTTCAGCAACAAACTGAAACAAACTGACCACTATCCCCATTCGGGGGCCCTCTGGTCGAATACGAGCGACAATCTTTCTGGATGAAGAACGGACAGAAATCTACCGAGGCGTTAAACACACAACGTTGCAGTATCTGCCAACACGAAGCAGAATCTCTACCTGTATGACCATTGCGGGGTTTATTGGTCGGCTTCAGCTTCCCGGTGTTTTACTTGGCATTCAACGCACGACAACTCTTGGTCCTGGGTTCCCAACGAACGTGGCGATGGATTCCAAGTCAATCCAGATGAGTGCCAGCTCCCACCTCGATGAATCATTTTATTAATTACCAGCACACCATAACGATATCAGCCTAAGCCCTCTACCTACCTGTAGAGCCACTTTTACAGGGTTATTTGTGTAGAGAATCTTACCACATCGATACCTCACACATCGCGAAATGGGACTGAATGAACATTAGTCGACTATTGATGATTCACATAAGTCATGAAGGAAGAGCAAACAAAGGAGTTTGCAGGCAAAGCCTACTTGCTCCGAGACACCCGAACTACAGACGCAATAACCCAACTTCAATATCTAGACTAGAAGATTAACTTGTCTACCGGGACCAAAATGTTCAATGAAGAGGTGAGTATTCTTGTCGCACAAATGGTCTAGCGAACTTGGTTGGCAAAGGTTTCTATCATGTGGAAGCCTGCAGTTCAAATCGTAACCTAGCAAATAAATATCTCAGTCTGATCACTCAATTACCTAAAGATCTCAAAGCTTTTGCATAGTTCAGATAAGGTTCATGTGCGAAGTAACCTCATGAAAGAGGCCCAGACTCTTTTGTTCTCCTAACCCTTGGCCCGAAGGAGGCCACTTCCCCAGGCTAAAGCCCCCGGAAACCCTGGCGATCTAATTTCCGTTGCTCTAGTAGAACCCTTTTTTTTGTTCAAGATGCGGAAAGATACAGAATATTCCGAGCGAAGGAGCTACACCCCCGCACAAGCCGGAGATGCCATGAAGCCACGCTTATATCCAGCGAATCTGATTGGAGATGAGGTGAAGGAGTCACGAAATCGGCGAACTGCATCGTGGGGTGCGTGTCCATCCATGCCCCATGCCGTATGCCCCCAGATTATTTGGAATCCGATGCTGTTACCGCCTCGCTACACCGCAGAGGTGTGGTAATGCGGGGGAAGAGAGATCGTGATATTTCAAACACAACCACGACTGCTGAAATCAAGGCAGCTATGAGAGCAGAGGAAATATCTAGCGAAGTCCTTATGGTTTCATCATTCTGTTCAGGAAATTCCGGTATAACTTGAATGACAAGCTTTCGGGGATGTTCAAAATCACCATTAAGCCCTAAGGGCGAAACGCCAAGTCAGCCTTAACGCCTAGACCCCACCTGTATTCAAATCTCGAATCATGAGATGGCCATTGCGAACATGTGCCATTCTCGGTTATCCGGGCATTGATAGTTGGGCGGCCAGGTCAGTTCCCCCGCGGTAATAGCGCAGCAAAGGTTGGGGTTCCCAGAAGCTTTGAGATTAGCGTCTGGGGTCACTCTTCAACTACAGTCGGAATCTGGGGTAAAGGTACCGATGTCGCCGCGGAAAGTTTCCGAGTTACAATCAACAGCAGCGTCTTTATCTATGCTAGTCGGTTAAAAATATCCCTTGAACATAACGAGAGCCTTTCCTCAACAAGTTTGGAAATCGTTTCTCGGTTCTCTGTGCTTCTACATCAACATATCAATCTCCAGTGATACTCAGAAGAAGGACATTTATCAGCATTGCTAAGAGTAGCTACGATGGCAGAACTTGACAAAGGGGCGGTTGCTCACGATGAGAGCAAGATCGAAGAGTATTTTCCTGTCTCCTAGTGCAAGACATCATTGATGATCCGGGAATTCCTCTAATTCGGGAAAACACTAGAATTGAGCTGGCCTCCTCGACGCAGTACTTTGACTCCCGAGAAGAAGATCGCCTGCGAAGAAAGATCGATTGGGCCATCATGCCCACAGTCTGTATTCTGTTCCTTGCCTGTGTCATTGACCGAGCCAATATTGGTAACAAAACCTTTCCCGTGCATACTTCTCACGCAGAACTAACATTCTTGTACATTAGGCAACGCGAAAATTGCCGGCTTCGATAAGGATTTGGGTATGGTCGGCGCTGACTACAACGCGACCCTTTCGCTCTTCTATGTCGCATACATCGTGTTTGAACTCCCCTCCAACATCCTATGCAAAAAGCTCGGCCCTGGAAGGTTCCTCCCTGCAATCACAACTCTGTTTGGAATCACATCCATTCTGAGTGGGCTAGTACAGACCAAGGCCCAAGCGATGGGTGTTCGATTTCTCCTTGGGTTTTTCGAAGCAGGCATGCTCCCCGGCCTTGCCTACTATCTTTCTCGATGGTACCGGCGCGCCGAACTGTCCTTCCGCGTCTCTCTTTACATTGTCATGAGTCCCTTGGCCGGTGCAACAGGTGCTCTTCTCGCCTCTGCCATCCTCACACTAGATGGCTTCGGTCCTTTCCACAGCTGGCGAATGATTTTCGCTATTGAAGGAATCGCCACAACTGTCATCGGACTAATCAGCTTTTTCACTCTGACGGATAGCCCAAGCAAGGCGAGGTGGTTAAGTGCCGGCCAGAAAGAGCTAGCTGAGGCCCGCCTCAAGTCTGAACGCACGGGTCAAACCAAGGTTCTTGACAAGATGGACAAGACGAAACTCCGCCGGGGCATCCTGAACCCCGTTACTCTCAGTGTATCTGCGGCCATGTTCTTTGCCAACATCACTGCGCAAGGTTTTACCATCTTTGCACCTACCATTGTGCGCTCTATCTTCAAGGACAAGTCAGTCGTTCAACAACAGCTACTGACAGCTCCACCCTACTTCCTCGCTGCTGGCTGGACCGCAGCTGCAGGCTTCCTTAGTTGGAAATTAGACCGCAGGCAGATCATCATGATCCTTACTGGCCCTCCCACCATTATTGGATACATTATGTTCCTCGCCACGGATAACTACATTGTTCGCTATGTGGCTGTGTACATCGTAGCTTCGCTCATCTTTGTTTCTGGTGCTATCCCCAATTCCCAGATATCCGCCAATGTTGTTTCGGACACTGCGCGCACCTCAGCTATTGGATGGAACGTGATGATTGGTAACACGGGCGGCCTCGTGTCGACCTGGACCTTTCTCGCATGGGACGCTCCCAACTACCCGATTGGCAACGGACTAAATCTCGCAGCAAGTGTGCTTGTTCTCCTCTTTTCGGTAGGAACAATGGTCTGGATGAAGAAGGATAATGCTCGACGAGAGCAGAACCAAGAGGAGGGCGAGCTGGAATTAAGAGGAATGACGCAGGGTGAGATTGAGGATCTAGACTGGAAGCATCCTTCTTTCCGTTGGAAAATCTAATGGAGAGCTTTGTTGTATCGGATCAGAGTGTTCTTATCCTTCAGAATCTACATCTTGGTTTCATTTTTATATTGCTTTTTCACAGAAGTCCTGCTCTATCATCTTCTCGGTCAAATCGCATGATGGTCTAGGGTAGCTCCAAATGTACCCACCCCGCTCAAGGCTGCAGCTTACCTCAGCTTCACTCTATTGGTGGTGACGCAGTATTACTTTCCTCCTCCTTCATCACTCAAAACTGTTTGATTTGCAGTCTCTGCGAAATTCGGCCTCATCATGTCCCTCATTTCCTGCCCTCCTGATGTCCTCCTCATTATTCTTGAGCTTCTTGTCCCTGCCTGGGATCCGGAGCGTCAAGCCGCTCAAACCCCCACCGCCGACCGACGTAAGCTAGCTTGGCAACATGGCTTCGAAGCTGATGGGGAGACAAAAGAGCACCTGGAAGCGAAGAAAACATTCTCGAGCTTGGCTTTGACCTGCAAAGATATATCCGAAGCCGCCATGATCATGCTGTACCGCGAAATCTGTCTCCATAGCGCCACGTCCATGGTTAATTTGCTTCGCACGCTTCTGAGAACACCTCGTTTACGCCAGTATGTCAGATCGCTTGCCTGCGCAAAGCATATGGATCAATTTGATCACGAGGAAGAATCAAGGAAAATCCTATCATCGATCGACTGGGACATAAACTCAATGGGTTCATTCGAGAGATCGGTATTTGGCTTGGCTAAATGTGAAGCCTTCTGCTCGGGCAACCTACCTTGTCCTGAGGATGATTTAGACAATCAGACCTTCGACGACGACCTGGACGATGACCCAGTATACGATCATCCGTCCATTCCAACTCAGCCATATCTTGTCCCAGTCATTGGTCCCTCGGTCTTAGCTTCGCTTATCTGCCTCGTGCCGAATGTAACAAGCTTCTGTTTTACTCCACCAACAGGAGATGATACTGACGTCCACAAAACATTGAGGGACAGTCTTGATAAAGCCCAGGAATTATCGGTGGATGACGGCCATCCACTGTCAGTATTGCCAAGACTTTCCACGCTTGCCTTGTACTCGCATGCCGCCATCCTTAGTGCACAATGGGAATGTATCTGGATATCGTTCTGGGCTCGGTTTTCCAAATCGGGGATTCAAAAGTTAAAGGTTTTACAAGCGATTATGTCCGTCGACGATTTTGAAGAATGTAACGAGGGAATGATGGACGTCTTGTCGAATGAGGATGCAGAGTACTTTCAAGACCAAGACCGCTACGTCTCGGAAGCCAAGTGGGAAGCCCTTGAAGAATTACAGGCATTCTTGACAGGCACATGGGGGCATGAGTGGTTTGGAATTTTTAAGGTCTTTTCCCACTTAAAAAGAGTGGAAATTACGCCTACAAAGCGACCGATAAGTTACCAGGAAGTATTTGATCCCGATGGGGGCACCTTGGAGAGTGGTCTCATTCAACTCAGAACGACTCTCGAATATTTCAAACTCACTGGCCTTTACACTGAGACGATCGTGCCCGAGCTCGGACCCGAGGGGGTTCTCACTTGTCTATCTCAGTTCACATGCCTTCGCCATCTGGATATCGCCACTTTGGCGCTGTTTCGAAACCCAGAGCAAATGGAAGGTTTTTCCATTGCGGAAACCCTACCCCAGTCGCTAGATACTATCTTCTTTCGGGAAGAGTGGTTGCTATCTGACCTAGAAGATATCGAATCCGGCACCAGTGATCAACAGCTCCAGTATAGCCGTATCGTTATCGATTGTTTGAAGAGGATGATCGATGATGAGAATGGGCTGCCGAAGCTTCGACATTTGAGCTTTCAAGAGCAGCTCATGGCCTGGACTCTGGGGCTTGACATCAAAGACCTATTATCTCTAACTAGACGGCGCGTTATATTCAACGCATACAACAATAAAGGACTACCAATGAATCTCGAAGACTTTTTGATTGCTCACCATATCTAGGAGGACGGTGCCGTTATCCCTATCGCATTCTCAGCCCACGCCGAAGAGTAATTGATGTATTTTCTCTTTACTAGGAATGATCTCACGGGGCCATGATACGATAGCATGATTCATGAAATATTTACTAAATCTCTTTAATCTCTATAATGATTTCTATCGTGTCGCAGGTTCAGGTTACGGTAGGTGTGTAAAGTGAGGCCAGTTATGATGCCAACAGAGCCTTTGCGATTGCTTCTTTTGCTTCAGTCAACTTGAAATTCTGAATGGGTAGTTCTGACCAGAGAATCTGCTGAGCCACGCCCTGCCAGATCATGGCCTCAGTGCCATAGATCATCGTCCAGCCAGCCTTGATACCAAGCTCAAAGAACTCTGTCCGCGGCCTCGGAAAATAGCACATTTCGAGAATGCAACCCTTCTCCGGCCTGTTGAGAAAATGATTGGAAATCTCCCGCGCAAGGATCTCTCCTGGTGACTGGGGAGGAAAGTCAGGTACGGTGCCCACCACCAGGACGGGCGTCTCCAAGGCAGTAGCCTGTTCAATGGACTTGACGTGGACCAGTTGGCCAGTAAATCCACTCTCTTTGAGAGATTTTATGATACTTTCAACTTCGTCATCGAGTCGATTGACGAGATATATCTTGCTGGCACCAAGCCATTCCGACAGAGCGTAAATGGATGCTCGACAAGCGCCGCCTGCGCCGACAACCATAGCAGGCTTGCCCTGTGCCCGCTGAACAATGTCCGGATAGTTCTGCTGGAAAGCCTCCCGCACGCCGACGCAGTCTGTGTTTGTGCCAATGTATCTCGTGGTCCCATCCGGCGCCTTGCGGAGGAAGACTGTGTTGATGGCCCCAATGACACGTCCCTCGTCTGTGACGTCGTCGACCTCACTCATCATCTTAACTTTGAACGGCATGGTCACTGCACATCCGACTATGTCGGACTGCTTGAGTGCCGGGAGAAACTCGGACGCATCCTGGGTTTCGTGAACCTTGTACGTCCATGGCACGGAGATGCCGTCGAATAAGGTCGAGTGCAGCAGCGGTGCCAGGGTGCGAGCTAACTTGTAGCCAAATAAAAATGTGCGCAGGGGGGTCTCGCGTTTGGCTGCATCCACGAAGCTGGTCCCGAATTTGAACGAGGCCGCCAGGGTCTCGTCTTCGGTGTGTGTAGCTGAACCCATCTTGTAAGCTGTGTGAATTAGATCGACCCCAAAGACGATAATAGCCAAGCCTTCTGGATGTCTTCGGTGTATATACAATTGGCCAATCTTTTCATGCCGCGATCATGTCTCAGATTAATACTAGGCCAAAAATTGATAGTTTGAGCCCTAGTCCGATGGTCGGATAAACGTAGAAGCCCGGCAGAGAACAAGGCCGAAATCGCAACCGATGAGCCCCAAGGTGCCATAATTTGGGGACAGAAGCCCCGCTCTGGTCCAGTTTCACGAAGGTAGATTGCTTTTGGTTGGTGGATGTAAGGGTAAGGTCAGGTCCGAGCTGCATGAGTTGCTAGGATTCATCATCTCCAACAACTGAGGGGAACGGCTCGCCTGGCACATTCTCAGAGATTAGGAACTCCTGTGCTCATAAATACAGGCAATTAAATTATTACCACGTGGGCCTGTGATGTAATATTGAGGCATATGAAGTACCCGTTGTAAAGCATTATATTTCACACTTCACGGGGAATGGCTACCGAGGCTATTGTGCCATTGAAGCTCTTGAACGAGGAGGTGAAATCTGTAGGCCAATTCTTGCGGTAAGAACGACGAGCTTCTCCCAGCTTTTGGCGATGGGGTGGCCTGCGATGGCCGTGGGCTCCTCGCTTCTCTACTGTTGCTTGCCGCATCGCTGAATTAAACCCTACCAGGCACTACCAATGAAATGCGTCTGAAAGTCTCACCTTATTATGTGCAATATAAGAAATAAAAAGGAAAACGAAAACAGGGGACGGGAAGTGGTGCCATAGAGGCTACTCTTCTGTGGAGTTGATGGCGTTTAGAAATCGGCTTTGTGCCAGTCTTCGTCTACCCCTGAAGAAGCCCAGGTGCATTTCTCGAAAACCATGAAGTAACCAAATTCTATTCTAGTCAAAAATGCGCTTCCTCGGTTCAGTAATTCTTAACAAGTGTTCCCAGCGCCAAATTTAGGAAATGAACCTACCTTCAAGTGTCTGTGCTGAGCTATGTACCACTGTTCTCATCTGGGATCATATTTCAATTTGGTACTGCTCTGCTCTTTCCTCCTAGCCGCTATCGCGAACATTTCATACCCAATTCAACGTGACCGCTACCGGCTGTTGAAACAATCGTCGAATGCTCGTCTTCTCTTTTCGATATGGCCTGAAACCCGCTAAGGGAGGGTAATAAAGTATATAGTGATCATGAGAGAGATGTGGGACATTCTAAATCACACCAATTGACTTCAATTCTCCACGGGGGCATGTAAATGTGTCTTTTCTCGGACAACTGGCTTTATTAGAGGGTGCCCTTTCCTTCTACAGCATTTGTGTGGCTATAACTATGATGCTTAGAACGGGAGTAATAGGTTAAGTTAGCACGAAGTGGCTAATTGTACAAAGATGAGATCAACAGCTTCTTAGTGTTTATAATTCATTTGCCGAGTAGGACTTCATTTAGGAGGCAGAGATGTGTGGCCAGGCTATAGAGAATCGGTCATCATCACACACCCCGAGACCCAAAGACTACGTAGTAATTGTTTTAAGTCAAGCAATCTCAGGATTTGTAAGCGTTTAGCAGATCAGTGAGAGATGACTGCTTCGCGGTAAGATTTGCTCCGATGCTTGATCCTGAAAGACCTCCGCAGACCGATGCCTGGGTAAGAGTGTGCTGAGTCTATCCCCTTGCGCCATCACATGGCTAATATCTTCATTACTCTCTAGCCGATGCATTCCCAATTGTTTGGCTTTGATTGGCGAATGGTTTTTCATTAAGACCCTCTCGAAGCTCCACGGTAAAGATCTCTACCGGATGGACGACTGGCCTGGCTGGTGAGATGGAGTGTGGGGTTAGAGCTGGGGTAACGTTTTCTGGGGCAAACCCGGAGAAGATTGCAGGACATGACTCTCTGCTCACGAGACTAACGGCATTGGTAGAGTAGAGCGAGTATGGACGAGAGAAGCTGAAATAAATTGAAGTTCCTACTCTTCCCTTAACCTTGGTTCTGCTGAGACTCATCGCCTCAAACGAGAGGCCCTTCAGAACTCGCTGAAGCCCCCATCCCAAATCTGCCTCTTTGCTACTTGCCTTCTGATTCGCTGTTAATCTAAATATGTTTTTCAAACGGCCAAAGGATGATTCCACCAATCCAGCACCGCCAGAGGTTTACAACTGGCGCATCTACGCGCTCGCTGCCTCCGCCGCGATGGGTTCAGCCATGTTTGGATACGACTCAGCCTTTATCGGTGGGACCATGTCGCTGCCTGCCTTTATGAGTCGTTTCCATCTATCGACGGCAAGTGGTGATCAGCTCGCAGCTTTGAAGGCGAATATTGTTAGCACATTCCAGGCTGGCTGCTTCTTCGGTGTTATCTTTTGCTATCTCCTTACGGAGAGGATTGGACGGCGCTGGCTCCTTATCTACTGCGGCGCTATCTTCGATGTTGGTGCTGTTTTGCAGCTGGTCTCTCCTGGAATCCTTGGTCTCATTTATGCTGGACGTGCTTTGACAGGCAAGCTGAATCTTCCACTTTCCTCTCCTATTTTACATGGTTCCACAGGCGCTAACCCATGAGTCCTTCGTCTCCAACAGGTATTGCTGTCGGCGCCTCCTCGATGATCGTTCCCGTGTACATCTCCGAATCATGCCCTCCAGCCGTGCGAGGGCGTCTGATTGGAATCTTCGAGATTTTCATCCAAGTGGCGCAGATCTTCGGCTTCTGGGTCAACTACGGTGTCAATATCAATGTCTCGCCTACCTCTGATTCCCAGTGGCATATCCCTTTCGCTATCCAATTAATCCCTGGGAGCATGCTCTGCATTTGTATGTTCTTCCAGCCGGAGTCTCCTCGCTGGCTCCTGAACGCAAAACGTACCGAGGACGCAAGAAAAGTGCTGAGCTATCTTCGCAACTTGCCGGAGAATCATGAATATCTGAGCTGGGAGATCAATACAGTCCTCCAGCAAGTTGAGCACGAGCATGCTGTTGTCTCAAATAAGAACTTCATCGGGAAACTCCGTGAAATTGGGCTGCCAGCCAACCGAAACCGTCTCCTGATGGGTATTGCACTGATGCTCATTCAAAATATGTCTGGAATCAACGCCCTTAATTATTATTCGCCATCTATTTTCAAAGCTATTGGGTTCACTGGCACCAGTGTTGGCTTGCTAGCAACTGGTATCTTCGGCATTGTCAAGGCCACTGCAACTGCAATCTTCATGATCTGGGGCATCGAAACTCTTGGACGCCGTAGAGCTCTTCTTATCGGCTCCGTTGGTGCCATGATATCACTTTACTACATCGGTGCATACACTAAAGTAACAAACTCATTCTCAGCCAGTGCAGCTGCAAACTCTACCAAGGATGCTGCGGCTTATATTGCAATCGTCATGATCTACGTATTCGCCGTGTTCTACGCGATGTCATGGAACGGCATCCCTTGGATTTTCTGGTAAGTAGCCTTGATTCGTGTCACTCCACATGCACTCTTGTCTGACAAATTGTAGCGCCGAGGTCTTTCCAATGGCCATTCGATCCACCTGCCTGTTGTTCACAACATGTGCGCAGTGGCTGGGCCAGTTTATTATCGTGTATTCCACTCCATACATGATGGAGAACATCAAGTGGGGGACATTCATTCTCTTTGGATCAGCAGTCCTGTTTGGTGTTATCTTCACCTTTACTCTCGTTCCTGAAACTAAGGGATTGTCTCTCGAGGACATGGATATCTTGTTCTCGCAATCCGGTCTTGGACTGACCTGGCGTAAGAAGACGGATGCTATTCTTGCCGAAAGACGTGAAGAAGGTATCGCGAATGTGCTCGCAGAAGTGAAGCAGGACGTGGCCCATTTGGAGAAGGTCTAGATGACACGTTTGGCAAGAGCATGTAAGCAGATGAGGTATTCAAGAACCAGGGCACATCATAGCCTCATGCGCCAAAGAATGAAAGTTTCTTCTCTCATAGTTCTCTTAAAAGTGGCTAGCTCGCCTGATTCATCACCCGTTCCATCTAGCCCAAATGTTGTATTTTCCACCCAGCAGGACTTCTCCCGAAGGTGCCTGCCAACATACAAATACTACCACTAAAGGCCCAGATGCGAACTACCCATTCAAATCTTCACTGAGTACTGTCTTGATCTATTTGATAGAATGCAGATATTGCTTGTTGCAGACATTTCATTGCTCCAACAAACCGCAGAATCCAAGACCTCACCTTTGGCGAAGGTCTAGGCCCAAAAATTCTTCCAGGCGTTCAGGACTTGGGAATCAGATGATACCAGTATCGTGTCACAGTCTTCGATTCGAAGGCAATGATCGATGTAGTAACAGGATCAAAGACTGGAATGTATTTGTATTATAAGAATTCATAAAACAGGCGCCAGTTCCCTCGTCTAAGTATCGTACTCTAATCTACAGAGCGGCTGGGCGTCTCTCATGCGTCAAGACAGCATCCCGCATGATATCCTTTGGTGCCTCCATATCTGTCCACCTTGAATACTGATCAAAGGCCTGTGAAAGCAAAACTTCGACTCCCGTAACAATTTCCCATCCCGGGTGCCGCTGGGCCACCTTGAGCAGCGGCGTGATTCTCGGCTTATATGACATTTCGATGCATAAGCCCCGGGGGCCAAAAATATTAACAAACTGAGCCTCCGTCGTTGTATCGGCAGGGATCGTGCCGACGATGATGTCGGGTTTCGCGGGAAGGTCTTCCAGGCTCGGTATGACTTTGACCGTGAAGAGAGACTCGAAAGCCTCCTGTACAGCCTCCGCCTTCGACAGTGTTCGGTTGACGAGATAGATAGTCTTGACCTGTGCGCGGTACATCGAATACAAAGCGGCTCTGGAGGCACCTCCTGCACCGATCACAAGCCCAGTCTCGGGCTCGCGGCCTGTTTTCTCAATATAGTTGCTCATGATGCTATAGAGGCCAGACCAGTCCGTGTTGTCGCCCATGATCAGCCGCTTCCCATCTTTTGACTTGACGACAAGGGTGTTGATGGCGCCAATCGACTTAGCAGTCTCGGTTACTTCGTCGCAGTATTTGTGCACTTGAAGCTTGTGTGGCATCGTGACGCTTGCACCACCAAACCTATCGTCTTGGATGAGATGGGCAACTCCTTCGATGCCGGGAGACTCGCGGATGTCATAGAAATGTGGCAGTTCATGGTACTTAAACCCAGCATTGTGAATAGTCGGTGACATGCTAAAAGAGATGCCGCTGCCGAAAATGTGAAACCGCTTTCCAAGGAGCCCAGCCGTGGGCTGTTGCTCCGTCACAATCACTTGAATCCCCATATTTACCACTTGACAAGGCTGATAAAAGGATGAGTTAAGCGGGTGTATATGGAACAGTTCTAGTATTTCATTGGCTTTCTATGCACTATAAACCGGGCAGAGACGGTATTAACTAAAGAATGTGCAAGGGCTGTAAGGCGAAGCGGTCCACAATATCGGATATGCGTTTAACCCGGTGAGCCGTTGCAACGAAGGATCAGCATACGACCATCATATCGTCCTATTTAAGGCTCAATAATGCCAGTAAACACGTCGGACTGATCAAAAACCGGAAGATAAGTTGCAATTCTGCCAATAACTAATATCTGCAATCGTTGCCTGGGATGCCTTCCAGGTACTCTTCTAAAGTATACATACTCAAATTGCTAAACAGGCTGTTTAAACTACCAACGTAGAACTATTCTGGTATCAGCATTCCGTTCACGACCTTAAGATTACAATTTTGGCGTCTCGCCTCCTTCCAAGCATCCTCTTCTCTGGCACCTTGCGACTCTTGTTCTGTTATGAGAACAAAGTCGTAGCGTAGCAGTCTTGTCTCGGGAGACACACCATACTTTTCTGCTAAACCATCTACATCTCCCACCTTTGCTAGGTCGATGATCAATGACTCCTTCACGCCGAATACAGCATCAGACGTTTCGTATGGATCCCCTCGTAAGTATAGCGCACTGTCTCAAGGTAAGCGAGGGGTCGTAACACAAGGCTGCTAGAGAACTTACGTGATCAGTCGGTCGTAACCCTCCTTCTTGAACATGAAATGCATGTGGCTTGGGCGGTAGCAGTGGCGATTCAGACGTTCCAAGAGCTTCCCTACCGGACCGTCGTTGGGAATGGGGTATGGGACAGGAACAATTGCGTTGAAGTAGATGATGCCGTCCTGGTCACTTCTTACAATGGCGCGACCATCAGGTGTTGTTCGACCTGCGTACTGGACATCATAAAAGCCCTTTGAATCGGTCTCCCATACATCCACAGCTACATCCGGGATGGGGTCTCCATTGGTGTCCTTAATGGTGCAAATTGCCAATAGCGGCTCGCCATCGGGATCATTAGAGATCTGATGACCGTTGGAAACAGTGTGTGCATCAGTTGTATGAAAGGGACCCAAAACAGTGCCCTCGGTCGAATTCTTGAGCTTTGGGTGGTCAATGGCATCCACGAGCAGCGAAAGGCCAAGGACATCCGAGAGGAGGACAAACTCGTGACGGACATCACTACTAATGTCCCCTACATCAACGAGGAATTTGATGGCAGTTTCCCATTCTGCTATACTGAGGCGTGTCTCTCTTGCGAAGTCGTGAAGGTGATTCACAAGCCTTTCTAACAAGAATTTGAGCCTGCCGTCGCTGCATTTAGAATTGATGCTATGCACATTGTCGGTTATGTTCTCGATCGTCAGATCCTTCATAGGAGGAATATCTGGCGGAGTGTGCTTCTTCTGAGACATTGTAGAAATTATAATTGTTCCTGTACTCTTGAAATTCGATGGATGAATAAAATTTAGTGCTTATCATATGTAATAACTCTATGTGAAGGCAAATATACAGATGGGCGGGTTGTCTAGATATCTGGCCGTGGAATAGGAGTCGTTGGATTTACAACCCAGGCGTGATGGATAACCGGATCAACGACCAGGAACTCATCCAATGAGCATCAATGTGTATATCCGGAGGAGTCACTGAATGAACATGGGAACCCCTTTCCCCCGCATTTGGCTCGCGCGGAGAAGACCGTGGTTAGTTTTAGCGGCGCTTCGGTTTAGACATTTGCCGGAACGGGCGCCATGCTGGTGGTACTGGTGGCCAACATCCCACCCAGAAACCAAAGCAAGTCATCCGATCCGATGTCATAGCCGATTCCGTCCTTCTAGTTATATCCGTATTGCCTGGACCATCCCCAAGCCCTTGCAGCCGTCCCTGCGAGACTCCTTCATGGTTCGTATTCGTCCTAAACATCACGAGACCGAAATCACAAGATCAAAATGGATGCTTTCGAGTACAGTTCCAACCCTGGACGGGTTATTTTCGGCAGCGGAACGATCAAGAGGCTTCCACAGGAGCTCGAGGCACTCGGCCTGTCCAGACCCCTTGTGCTTTGCACACCGCAGCAGACATCCCAAGCTGAAGATGTGAAGAACATTCTCGGGGGCAAGGTTGCGGGGATTTTCTCCCAGGCTACGATGCACACACCTATCGAGGTGACCCTCCAGGCTGTCAAGTACGCTGAAGAATCGAATTGCGACTCCCTGGTCTCGATTGGAGGCGGAAGCACCATCGGCCTAGGGAAAGCAATTAGCTTCCGCAAAGGTTTTTACCATATTACGATTCCCACCACATATGCCGGGAGCGAGGTCACGCCAGTGGTGGGGGAGACAGAGAATGGTCGCAAAACCACCAAGTCTGACCCCAAGATCCTTCCTGGTATGGTGATTTACGACGTCGACCTCACCTTGACTCTCCCCGTGGGCATGAGTTCGACAAGCGGCATTAACGCCATTGCGCATGCCGTCGAGGCCCTCTACGCCCGCAATGGGAACCCTATCATCAACCTACTCGCACAGGAAGGCGTTCGCGCGCTTGCTGAGGCTCTCCCCGAAGTGAAGAAAGATCCCAAGTCTGTCTCAGCACGGTCCAAGGCATTGTATGGCGCCTGGTTGTGCGGCACATGTCTGGGCAGTGTCGGCATGTCACTTCACCATAAGTTATGTCACACTTTAGGAGGGAGCTTCGGTTTGCCTCACTCGGAAACGCATACGATTGTGTTGCCCCATGCTCTAGCATACAATGCTCCCAATGTCCCTTCGGCCATGGATGCCTTGAGCAAAGCCCTGCCTGAGAGCAATGGAGATGCTGTGCATGGTTTGAATGTCCTGTTGGCAAAGCTAGAAGTGAAGCGAGATCTCAAATCCTTTGGCATGAAAGAGGAAGATGTGGCAAAAGCGGCAGAGATAGCCCTGAGCAACCCATACTGGAACCCTCGCAAAGTGGACAATAGGGATGCTATTCAAGAATTGATCCGCCGAGCTTGGGCTGGCGAAGATGCCAAGGCAGATCTATGAGTTGGATACCTAGAATAAAATACTGCATAATTCACTTAACGCTTGTGCAATACCGTAAGCAATTGTGAGAACCCAGAGGTGCAGATAGCTTCAACAAAGGATCTCTACATGTATCATCGATGCGTCATGAACGCAACATCCCCCGCTCTCAGACCAGGATGCTTGTTCCCCCGCAATCTCCCGCATTACTCCGTATTTCCAGCGGAGACGGGATTTCAGTTAGGGATTGTGAGGAGGAAATAAGCGGGTGGGTTCGAAGAGTACAGCCGGCAAAGGCCTCAACCGAACTCATGCGCAAGTGGGTAGCAAGTACCACCACATCGGATCCAGCAGGCCTCCATCATGTAGTGGAATGATAGATGATTATTGTAACTGTAGCTTTTCTCAGGCCACTTTGTAGCAACATGTAATTATTTTTCCCTTTTCTTTTGGCAGCGAGTTTTAATAGAAAAAAAAAAAAAGCATAGTGGCCAGCTTGATCGTCCATAAGCAACTCACCTTCAACTCCGAGAAAAACACTTCCAACGAACAGTCATGAGCACTGAACAGAAGACCCTACACCTGGTTGGCATTGGTGTCACTCACTCAATTGCCCCCGGTATGCACAATTTCATTGCCAAGTCACTCGGGCTACCATGGACGTTCCATAATACCGAGTGCCCAACACTGGATGAGCTAGACGAACTCTCCAAGAAAAACACAACAGCTGGTCTCGTTGTGACCATGCCTTACAAAAACACCGCCATGCCTAAGCTGGACCGGGTGGACGAGCTGGCTACTGCTATTGGGGCTTGTAACAACGTTTATTATGAGCCGGGCAGCCCGCGTCAGCGCGTTGGCACCAACACCGACTGGCTCGGTATCAGAGGATGTCTCCTCGAAAAAGGCGATGAATCTCGCCGTGGGACAAAGGAAAGTCCTGTCTCTGGCTTGATTGTTGGAGCTGGAGGTGCCAGTCGCGCCGCAGTTTACGCCCTTGCTTCCCACCTCCACTGCTCCAAGATCTACGTCCTCAACCGAGATGACGGTGAAGTTCTCGACCTTATCCGGGATTCCAAGAAGTTGCCCGTCGTACCTGAGATTATTCACATCAAGACCCTGGAGGAGGCACAAAAAGCCGACATACCTTACTACATCGTGGGGACCGTTCCAGATCTGGAACCCAAGACGGAGTCTGAGAAGAACGTCGCTGCAATACTACTCTCATTCTTGCAAAAGCCCGAAAAGGGTGTTTTGCTAGACATGTGCTTCAAGCCTCGGCGCTCGAGAATGATCAAGTCGGCAGAGGGTCTCGGCTGGCCTTGTGTCGAGGGCACTCATGTGATTGGGTATCAAATAGAGCGTCAATGGTCACTTTGGGCTGGGGAAGAGCGAGTGAAAAAATTGGACAAGGAGGGCGCTTGGAGCTGCCTTTTGCAAGCGGCAGAGGAGAGCAAGTTCATCAACTTTTAGCTTAGCTAGCTTACCTTGAATGATGAACAGTAACTTTCTATTTACGATACTCGTCGCCCATTTCATGCCTTGTTTACACATCTACAGAACATTAACAATGGCATAAGACACTTGCCAACAACTTGATACCATATAGCAATGCATGAACCGGTATCACTTCCAGCAAATCTAGGGCATGGGCGGTCCCAAGGCGTGAATGATGCGGATAAGAATAGGAAAAGTAAACATTTTACCCACCTGCTTCTATTGCCGGCCGGGATGGCTCCGTCGTCCACCCGCTTCTCACCCAAGACGAGAAGTGTGACGGGAAAGTTTTTACCCGGGGGCCCCCCGGAATCCAACCCCACCCTCTCCAACACCAAGGGTAAGTTTATCAGGTGGGCAAAAGCTCATCGAGGTTATGTTACCTTTCCGTCCATCGCATAAATGAAGGGAAATATTCTGGTCTCTTTTTCATAATTTGATCTATATCGTTATCCCTGAACGAACA